AACCGCCTAAAAAGTCGATTTTTCCAGTAAAAGATAAGAAAAATAAGCAAAAGAAAAGAAAAAGATCTAGGAAATCTTGATGTTGACCCGGTTGGGCCCATCCATTCTTTGAGGAGGAATTGTTGGGGGCGACGGTTTTGACATAATGGACACGATGGGAAAACATCCCTTCAGAGAGATCAAGAGCCACCTTTTCCATCCCATCCAACGAAAAAAAGAAGCGAAGAAAGACTCTTTTCTACACATTTGACACCGTTTTTGTGAGGAATTGTTTGGGTGGAGAATCGGTGAAAAAAAAACTGTCATCTTCAGATGCGACACAAACAAAGAAAGCTCAAAGAGAGATTTTTGAGGTCGTGAATAGATGGAGACTCATTCGGCTTTGTAAGAGACTTTTTTTCGATAGATTTCGATTGTTTTAAACTTAACGGAACAAGACTAATCAAAGAAAAGGAAAAAGAAAAGGAATCAAGGAAAATCTCAAATCTATAGATAATTAAGCTGACTTTATCCTAACATTAAACAAAGACAAGGATACAAAGCCAACATTAGCAACAACAACGAGTTTCTTTGTTGAACTAAGAAGTCAGCCAATCTCCTCCAACAATCCTTCTCCGGCAGTCTGCAGAAGCTAGTAAACAAGTGAATTTATGTCCTTCAATTGAAGCAAGATTTCATTTGTTTCAAAGCCTGGCAGTGATTGTTATTACGGTGCAAAGGGAAACAGAGGGACCAGCTTGGACTTGGATCTTTTTAGTTCTTTCCAAAAGTTATCGGAGATTTGATACGTGCCCCGCTATTGGAACCCCAACTTTGAGCTCAAATTTCTTGGTGTTGAGCTGTTCAATTTAAATATTCTTGGTATCGTTAGATGCGCCAAATCTTTCTCTGTCGTTTGGTACAAAAACTATTTAAATTGAACAGCTCAACACCAAGATATTTGAGTTCAAAGTTGGATTGCCAATGGCAAAAGGGGCCGGCCTCGCTTAGAAAAGATCCCACAATAGCTTTCCTTTTCCCATTGGCAATCTAACTTTGAGCTCAAATATCTTGGTGTTGTGCTGTCCAATTTAAATAGTTTTTGTACCAAACGACAGAGAAAGACTTGACGCATCTAATGATATTAAGAATATTTAAATTGAACAGCTCAACACCAAGATATTTGAGCTCAGAGTTAGATTCCCAATGGGAAAAGGGGCGGGGCGTGTATAAAAGGTCGCACAATGGCCCCGCCCCTTCCCCAATGGCAATCCAACTTTGAGCTCAAATTTCTCGGTGTTGGGCTGTTCAATTTCAATAGTTTTTATATCAATCGATAGAGAAAGACTTGGCGCATCTGATGATGAGGCGCATGATACCAAGAATATTTAAATTGAACAGCCTAACACCAAGATATTTAAGCTCAAAGTTAGATTCCCAATGGGAAAAGGGGCGGGGCACGTATCAAATGTCCCACAATCCTTTCCAAATAGTTCAAACACATTTTCTAGAACAAAAATCTCAACAAATTTATTAGAAATACTTTAAACAAAATCTGGTGTAGTTTTGAGCTGTACTATGACCTTTATTATGTCAATTGAACACGATGTTGGTCCCTTTTTGAGACACGAAGTCCCAATAGCAGTAAAATTGAATCAAAATTTACTAAAATGATTTGAAAATATTTGAATGATTAATAACTTATTGTTTATTTAGAAACATTAGTTGTTTAATTGATTCTCACAAATTAAAGAAGATAGGAATTAGATACGATTTCTGCATTAAGTCAAATTAAGAAATCAATCTAAAAACAAAAAGAAATCAATTTACAAACAAAAAGAAATCAATCTAAAAACAAAAAGAAACCTTCAAATCTCCAATCTACAAACAATTCATTTTCTGCCTGTAATAATCTGTAAATAAGTCTTTTTAAGCAAACAAACTCAAAGAGATTTGCGAGATCGAATGACGGGGAATCAACACTCATAGCAAAAACACAAATAACGGCTCTTTCAACGTATGCTTGGAAAAGATGAGTGGCCCACAATGGGAACATGAAGGAGAGGAACGGAAAAGAGAATTGAAAGAATGGACATGGAGGAGTCGAGGGTGTGCCTCTTTCCCTTTTCCCTATCGGATATAAGGAAGAAGATTTGCTTTCAATCTGGTTTTAATATGAGAACTGTTGAAGATTGAGGGAAGATTATTGGATGGAGTGAGAATATAGTTTGAAATGTTTTTAGGAAGAATAAACAGCAAACAAGTACTCGCTGTAGCGTTCAATTTTCCGATCTCGCCTTAGTTACTATCGTATTTTGTAACTCGATTTAACAGTAACCCAAGTCTGAATACCTTGATTACTTTTGACATTAACAAAGTTAGAAATAGGAAGTGCAAAGATCTATAAAGCTCAAGTCTATAGTTGGGAAGGGGTTACGATAGCTGGAATAACAGAATCGGTTGGGAAAAGTTTGCAAGTGCAATAAAAGACTGGCTGAATCCAGATCTTGGATCAGCAAAAGATCTTGGAATCAACAACATCGCAAGTTCACTCATCCGATTCTTCGGAAAAACGAGAAATCATCTGCTTTGCTGAACTTGGAGGAATTTCTTGGAGACTAATGAAAAGAACAAGTCAAATTTTGGCTAAAAATCGATCTTAATAGAACTAGAAAGCTTAAAAGCTTAGTAGAACTTAAAATCAATCTTTAAAAAGTTTAATGGAACCAGAAAAGCGAGATCTCAAAGCGCCAGAATGTCCCCAGAAGCCTCGTTTCTCGAGCCATTCAACGTTATGAAACTCTGGGCACAGTTTGAATAAATGTTTAGTTAAAAACGTCTATTCATGATTCCAAAAGAGGTGTAAATGAGAATTGCTTGGTACGGTTTACTAGCTAAAAAATAGGTATTTATTCACAAGAATAATTTGATACAAACAATACACAAGCACAATCCCTAAATGTAGGAAGAAAAAAACCGATAGATCTGGAAAAAAGAAACAATCTGGTGTAGTTTAGAGTATTAGTAGGGTTTGGAATAAGCTCCCGTCTGGTATCCGTCTGGTATCGTCTGTAGAAAACTTCAAAGTATCTGTAAACGAATTAGATCTTATTGCCATGTCAAATTTGCTCTATATTTAATCTTTTTGTATCTGTGTTTTCGAATCGTAGTCTTACTGTACCATTTTTAGTTTTCTTTCTTTTTTTGTGAAAGGATTGTAGGAATATGTTATATGCTGTTATGATTATCTGATTCGCTTCTATTTGCCCTCTGAATAAATCATATATATGTCGTAGCCAATTATGAATTTCAGCCGATTATGAATGAGTGGGTCTAGGAGCGCCCAACCATCAAGTATTTGGTATCATTCAACGCAGAATCATTAATAATTATGTTCAATTTTTAAAATTAGAAAGATTGGATAAAAAGAAACAGGGTACAGGGTAACCAAGAATTATTGCAACAACGTTGTATTATGTTATGAGCCCTATTTCACTTTTTGCTTACCTGTTTTTATGGTTTTTGTGTATTTTTCTTATTTTATGGTATGATTATTAACTTTCAATACATTAGTATGGTTGTTTTCAGGAATGTCGATGTGGAGACACTTTCACCAAGCGTCTCCACATCGACAATCGATCCTTGAGCTCAAGCGGCAGCGTGTTCAGGCGAGCGAGATCTCAAAGCGTCAGAATGTCCCAGAAGCCTCGTTTCTCGAACCATTCAATGTTATGAAACTCTGGGCACAGTTTCTGATCGCACTGTTACTCCGGCTAATGTCAAGAAAGTGCGCGATCGTCTAAGACTAAACCCTAACCAATCGGCTCGAGGAATGGCACAGAAAATGGATCTGAGGAGAAGCTCCGTCAACACAATCATCAAGAAAAAGCTGAAAATGAAGCTGTACAAGAAGAACAAATCTCAATTACTATCAGCTGCTGTGAAGGGTAAGCGAAAAGATCGATGTGCTCAACTTTTGCAACGGTTCAAGGGGATTGATCACCACAACATCCTGTTCACCGATGAAAAGATATTTACCGTCTATCGTCTAACGGCCTGTCTGAATGCCGATGGAGGCAAATTTGAATTTCATTGTTAACTTGTTACTGTTATATGTTGAATAAAGATATTTAAGTTAACTTTTCGAGATGGGTTGCTTATTTGGTTAAAAGCCAGGCCTTTTGTGTGTTGCGGTAATTCTTGGTCACCCTGTATAATCTAACCGGCGGGTTTGAACCCTTGACCTCCCAACTAAGATACAGGGTTCTTAGCCAATTGCCTAAACTAGACAGACAACTAGACACGCCTAAACTAGACAGACAACTAGACACGGCTAAACTAGGCAGACAACTAGACACGGCTAAACTAGACAGACAACTAGACACGGCTAAACTAGACAAACAACTAGACACGGCTAAACTAGACAAACAACTAGACACGGCTAAACTAGACAGACAACTAGACACGGCTAAACTAGACAGACAACTAGACACGCCTAAACTAGAAAAATGACACTTTTTTTAAAATCAGCTTGATGTTTTGTATAGATCTCTCTGCAAAACTATCGATTTTTTCACAAAAACGAAAAAGCGCACATGTTTTTTTGTTCACAAGAACCTTCCCCTTTTCTCTTCCCCTTTTCTCTTTCCCTTTTCTCTTTCTTCTTTTTCCCCTTTCTTCTTTTTTTCTGATTCATTTACATTCACTTCACACTATCGGGGCTTTGTTTATCCCCGAAACGATATCAATTCGAAAACAAAGTTCAAGTTTTAACAGAATTCTCATAGAGAGTTTGAACAAAATAGATTTACACATAAACTTTTATTCGTTTTTTCCTTTTTGTTCACTTTTCTTTCACTACTCGGTGATTTATTGTTGACGGGCCTTTTGCTAAAACGAAATGAGATCCTATCAATTGATCGAAAAAAAAAGTGTGCTTTATTGGGTTTCACCTTTATTTTTCAACCTTTGGATTTAAATTTTTTTTTAATTCTGAAGAAATTTAGAATCCTGAAGTTTTTATGGAAACAAATGGGAGGAGATATTTGGATCGAGGTGCACAGGGACGGGTTTATCATTTGGAGGAACAGTCAGTTCAATTTACCTTTGCAATCTATTGGAAAACTTGGAAATTTACCTTTAAATCTATTGGAAAACTTGAAAATAAGAAAATTCTGATGTCTGGCCGATAATTAGTTGTGCAAAAAAGGTTCTTACAATTAGTTTTCTAGTGGTCATTTAGTTCTCACCAGTTCTCATCACACCTTTTAGTTCTTGAAGTTATATTTCAGAAGCGATCTGATTCCATCTAGAATGAGATGCAAACACCCCTGGTGTTGGTTAATGAAAAAAGTCAGGGCCTTTTTTCATTAAGCTAACATTATTTAAAAGATTACTAATCGAAAAAGTACCTTTCGATTATTTCTAATAAAAAGCCTGGTCGAGAGGGGATCCGAACCAGTGAATTGAGTGCGAATTGCGAACACACTACCTACTAGCCTATCGAGGCAGATCGATGGGCCCGTGCAATCACCTTACAATTAGTTTTTTAGTGGTCTTTTAGTACTCACCAGTTCTCACCACACCTTTTGGTTCTTGAAGTTATATTTCAGGAGCGATCTGATTCTGAGATGCAAAAACCCCTGGTGTTGGATCGATTATTAAAAAGTCATGAGCTTTTTACATTAAGCTAACATTATTTAAAAGATTACTAATTTTCCTTCTAATAAAACGCCTCGTCGAGAGGGGATCCGAACCAGCGACCGAACCAGTGAATTGAGTCCGAATTGCTAGCACACTATCCACTAGGCTATCAAGGCACATCGATGGACCCGATGCAACCACCTTAAGTATCTTGCTGTTGTCTTGCTTAAGTAAAATTGTCCGAAACTTTAAAGGAAAACGGAGCCTAGGGGTTAAAAGAGGCTTCTCGCCTTTGTTCCAAATGAAGAGAGTTGGTGTAGTGGTTAGTGAGTTGGGCTATGAAACCATCGCCGAGTTTTGCTCACGGGTTCGACCTCGGTGTCCGTTTTTTTTTCCTTTTTTTGTTTTAAACTTTTAGAAATCAGATTGCTCCTGAAACTGGTCAGTGAGAGCTTCTCATTGTCATGGAAAAGCAAAAGCATTAAACAAAACAATCAGCGTTAAACTCGCAATCATTTATGACATATCCGGCTTCAATAATAACACTTGATCACATCAAGATTAAGCGTTGTTATTGAAATAATTTAATAAATTAACTGCCTGTTTTAGCAATGATCAGTCAACTTTTGATTTAGTTACGAATTCTAAAAAACAAATGATATTTTACTGTTGCCTATCAAGAAAACATTGAATTTACTATTGAAATTGAGAGTTGAAAAAATTTGATTAAATTTTTATTGAATATTTCTGAAATTGAAATTGAATAAATTTAAAGTGAAACCGTTCACGAGAAAGGAAAGAAAAAGATCGTCATATTCAAGTTTATCGTACAAGTAAATCAAGTCGTACCCTCCTTTTATCCAATCTCTAGATCGTGAATTCCCTTCTCGATCCATCAGAGAACGCGTCAGTTGTATGACAAGTCCAAGAAACTCGTAAAAGTTGTCGTAAATGAAAAAAAAGAAAGGAACGACATTAACACCTTTTACATTGGTTCCTTTTACTCGTTAGCGGGAGAAATGATGACTCTCACGCCAGGTGTCAAAGGCACTCATCATTCTTTTGATTCTATGATCATTTTTTGAGGGGTTTTATTTGAGAGTTAATTGATTGATATTGATTTATCAAAATTTACCCCAATTTCAGAAATATTGTTCTGAAAAAGAGCATCAATTGGAAAAATAGTCGCCTCTACGATTTGGCGAAAAATGAATGTCGTCTCTTGCAAGAATTGCGACACCAAAACATTGTCCATTTTGTGGATTGTGAAGAAAGAGAAGTCCCGAATGAAAATATTGTTGTTTTCTATCTCAAAATGGAGTATTGCTGTCATGGATCATTGAAAAGAGGTGGGGATCGCTTGAGCTTGGTGGGGAGCTTGAGCTTGAGCTTGGTGGGGAGCTTGAGCTTGAGCTTGAGCTTGGTGGGGAGCTTGAGCTTGAGCTTGGTGGGGAGCTTGAGCTTGAGCTTGAGCTTGGTGGGGAGCTTGAGCTTGAGCTTGAGCTTGGTGGGGAGCTTGAGCTTGAGCTTGGTGGGGAGCTTGAGCTTGGCTTGAGCTTGGTGGGGAGCTTGAGCTTGAGCTTGGTGGGGAGCTTGAGCTTGAGCTTGAGCTTGGTGGGGAGCTTGAGCTTGAGCTTGAGCTTGGTGGGGAGCTTGAGCTTGAGCTTGGTGGGGAGCTTGAGAAAAAAGCTAAAAACCAGAACTTTAGTTCTAAAGAATCCGACGTTTATCTACTCGGTGGCGACAATTGTTTCTTGGATGGAAAATATTTTTTCGGCTTTAGCTTTTCTTGCCGAGCATCACAAAATTCACCGGGATATCAAGGCGGATAAGTGAGTTTTTTCGATTTTGAATTATGATTTGTTTAAAGCTTATCAGCATGCTAAACTAAACAGAATAGAATTCACCATGTTGGTATACAGCTTCCAACTTTAAGACAACAAACTTTTTGACAACGAACACAGGACAAACCAGACCTGGACCAGTCAAACATTTCTGACATTTTAGTAGGCAGCTTGTCGGCTTAGGTCGGCCAGAACGCTGCATAACACAAAGAATCCAAATTCATTTTAACAAGGGAAGGTCAACTAGCTGAGCTGGCCATGGTCAACTAGCTGAGCTGGCCATGGTCAACTAGCTGAGCTGGTCAACTAGCTGAGCTACCATTCGACGCAGAATTTTATGCTGATTCCGTATATATATTCCGTTTTTGCTAAATGCTAAATCTGTCAGGGGTTAAGAGCGTCTAAAGTTTTGTTAGATCATTTCGGTCTTAGCGGTCCCTTTGCGGACCTAATTGGCCATGATTTGAGATCAATGGTGTTCCGATAAGATTGGAGGGGTTAACGGGGTTACAATTGGAGGGTTAACGTGTGAGTATCGAAAATCGTTTCTTTTCTTTCGTTTGGCTCTTGAAGTTACTGTAAAGTCCCAGTTTTCTGTAATACTACAGTATACCCGACAAAATATTCAGTAGATAAGACTTACAAGGGAAGGCCAACTGGTTGAGCCAAATGCTAGGCAAACTATACCATTCGACACAGAGTTTTATGCTGATTCCGAATATGTATTCCCGTTTTTGCTAAATGACAATTTGCCAGCGGTTAAGCGCGTCTAAAGTTTTGTTATGACTCTGAAAATGTGGTTATTTAGATCTTAACGGCCTCCTGGCGGGCCAAGCCGTGGTGCAGCCGTGGCCGAGTGGTACAGCTTTCGTTTCCAGGGTCAGACCTCGCAACTTCGAGCCCCGCTTTGGATTTTTCTTTTGTTTTCAAGAACTAGTGTTCTTTGTGCGCTTGCACAATCGTATTCCATCTGGCACATTTCTTTCCATATGTAAAGCCATAAGTTAATATTGATCAATATCAACTGTTTGTCAGCTCCCACGACGGGCCAGTAACCTCCTCCCGTTTTGTCTTTATTTGAGAATTATTGTTGTAAGAGTGTAAAAAAAACTTTGTAAAAGTGTGATAACAAGAAAGATGTTGTGCCAGATGGAATACGATTGTGCAAGCGCACAAAGAACACTTGTCAGAAACTCTTGAAAAAAGCAAAAGAAAGATGAAAAATCCAAGATCGGGATCAAACTTTCAAGGTCTCGCTCTGTAAAGGATCGGCGTACCACTCAGCTACAGCTGCACTGAAACGGGCACGCGAGGAAACCCCGGCTAAGAGATAGCCCTAACAAAGCTTTAGATCCTTATAAGCCCTGACAGATTGTCATTGAACAACATCGGAATACAGATTCGGAATCAGCATAAAGTCTGCATCGAATGGTATAGGTTGCATAGCATTTGGCTCAACCAGTTGGCCTTTCCTTGGAAGTTTCATAACCAATCTGTTCAGCATCATGGTCGATGCCAGCTTTACCTTGAAATTGGGAGATTTCGGCTCGGTGAAAGAAACCGAGAAAACGGCATTTGATTCAATTTTTGGTGGAACTCCTGGCTATATGGCACCAGAAGTTTGCAAAGAAAGAAAGGTATAGATTAAGAAACGACTAGTTTATTGGAAAACATTTTAGTTCAGTCATAGAAGTGATATCTTCAGTGTGGGAAAGGTGTTGAAAGAGATCGTGGAGAGGAGGTGAGGAATTCTAAAATATCTAGAAAGTTTTGACAAAACAAAACTTTAGGCTACTCCATGAAGACAAATCAAGTTCAAATTTTGGTACAAGCAAAGATTTAGACTTTGTTCTCACTGTTTGTCCCAAGGAGATTAAAGAATTAATCACTTGGTACTTTTTGATGTTTCACTTGAGTACACAAGCTAGATTTCAGCTGCACTAAAGAGAACTATCAACAACGAAAAAGTGCAGCTGAATTGCTGCTGGAAATTCCAATTTTGAGAAAGGTTAGTTTGGAATGAGATGGAGGTACAATCATTGAACAAAATGTATTGATCGATTAATCTAATAGTGTGTTAAGCATCAGCCCGGAATCAGACTCACAGGGGAAGGTCACAAAGCTGAGGTGGTCAAATGAAATGAGCCATACGACGCAGAATTTTACGCTGATTCCGATGCTGCTATCCGTTCTTGTAAAATGATTCGGAAACGCGAGCAATCTGGCAAACAAGTTTCAAAATTAGAGCACTCAAATTAGAGCAAAATTAGAGCTCTAAAATCAGGCTTCTTTCACCGTCTTTTTCCCGAAATGGCTTCTTTCAAGATTTCTTTCACCGCCTCGAAATTCGAGCTTGTGGTGTAGGGGATAAGAATCTTGTGTTCGAAACAAGCTGTCAAGTTTTTGCTCGCGTTCGATCCCTTCCTTTTATTTTCTTTTATTTTGATGTTTAACCGATCGAATTTGCTCTATTTAAACTTTACTATTATGACATCTTTCGTTTCATTCATTTCTTTTATAGATAGCTGTGTGTGTTAATAACTTTATAAATCCATTAGAATATTTGAGCTTTCTCTTTCAATCTACCATTAACAATACAAAATTTGATTAGAATTCCGATAGATCGTGTTAATTTTTTGTTATTTTGTTTTTTCTCAATTAAAAGATGTCATAAAACTTATTTTAAAGTTCAAAATAGAGCGAATTCGAGCTGTTAAACATCAAAAACAAAAGGAAAGGGTTGAGCCCGAGCAAAAGCTTGATAGTTCGTTTCGGAGACAAGACTCTTATCCGCTACACCAGAAGCTCACATTTCGAGGTTTTCAAGCAGCTTTGAAAGAAGCTAGTTCGAGTAAAAGACGGTGAAAGAAGCCTGATTTTTGACCTCTAATTTGACCAAAAACTTGTTTGCTAGATTGCTCGCGTTTCCGAATCATTTTGCAATCATTTCGAGGCTTTCAAGCAGCTTTGAAAGAAGCTATTTCGAGTAAAAGGCGCATCGGAATCAGCGTAAAATTCTGCGTTATGGCTGATGTCATTTGGCCACCTCAGCCTTGTCAGTTCACAGATTTGAGTTTCTTTTTACTGGAAAAGAAGGCGAAATTTTGAATAAGGGTATCTTCAACGAGTAGTACCAACGAGTAGTACCAACGAGTAGTACTTTTTTGAACTGTTAGACACTTCAAATAGGCCCCAAACTTCTTGATAAGTATATAAAAAGCCTTTTTAACAATTTTAGCTTTTTTCCTCATTCCCTTCAATTGCTGTCGATATAAAAGAGACAATTCTCTGGCTTCCAATCGGTTTAAATGGAGAAAATGATCGACACGCTGTATATAAAGATGAGAACTTTTATGTTCCCAGTGTCTCATCTTTTCCTCTGAATTTACCAGCTTTCGAAGAGTACGATGATCCACGAAATGTCATTTACGAGATTACGTTAGCTGCCAAGAATGAGAAAGAAATTCTTTCTTTTGCAAAATCGCTGAGCTTGGACACGATGATTCCCCAATTTTATTATCCGCATAAAATTCGAAAAGATATCGAAAGATTTCTGAATTCCCTGGCAACAGATTTGAGATTTCAATTCCCATTCTCGAATCGAATTCTCGATTTTCATAACACGGAAAATGTGAAATTGCAAAGTTTGGTCTCACAAATGGATGAGAAGAATTTAGAAAGTTTTGCGAGCAATTTGCAAATGTTGATTGATGGAGCAAAGAATTTGCAATACGTTTACTCGTACGATTATGTTTCACAAAAGAATTTCGATCTATACACGGAAATGATCGACGAGAATTTGGCAGCTGAATTCACCGATTTCTCAGCTGAATCCTTCAAAATTCCAGATTTTCAAATCCCAGATTTCCTCAACGTTTCTCAAATCAATGACGGGAAAAGTGATGAGAATTTGACGTATGAGTACGTCGCGAAACAGCTCGATCACATTTTGCGACGTGACTACGCGACACAACATTTCGTTTACAGTTCGATCTTCGAGACTTTACTTGAGTTGAACTCAGCTGAGTTAAACTCAACTGAGTTTATCCAACCGTGGGTGAAATTTCGATCTTTAAAAAGAAGCCTTGAAAATCTAGAAGAGCTAAAGAAAATCTTTACAAAAAACTTTTATTTTTATTTGTTTTCTGAAGAAAACTCGAAAGCTGAATATCTTTTAATATCAGCTCACAATTTTCTCTTTATTAACAAAGAATTTACTGTTGTAAAGAAGATTTTAGGAGACTGGGATCCAGATAATCCATTAAAGTTCGTGGCAAGAGATCGAATTCTTCTTTCAAAAGATGTTTATCATTTAACATTTAATGATTTGAAAAAGGGATTACAGAGAAATATTGAAGAATTGAAGAAAAAGTTTCAGAAAAAGTACAAAACAAAACGATTTGCCAGAGAAAATCTATCGAATTTCATCTTTCGATTGAATCGAGCGCCGAAATTCATTTGTACTTGCTCGCCAAAATGTGAGCTAATCTCAGGAATCCCGAAAAACTACCCACAATCCTTTCAATTCATTTACCCAACATGCTCAAGCAATGAGTTCCGCGAATATTTAGACTTATACACTCTCTTTCTCAAATCCTTTGATTACTTACAAAAATGGAACACTGATTTATCGTTTTCTATAAATTCGATTAAAGAACTCATCATTGAAATGGAAAAAACTCGAAAATGTACGAATTATTTCTTATTTTTGACGCATTCGAATGAAGAGAAGCGGAAAATTTACCGAATATTTCTCGATTTTCCCGAGAATTCTTTAAATTTCAGCTATAATGTGAAATTTTTGAATAAAGCTTTTCAAATAAGGACACGATCGGTGATCAATTTCAAAAATGACTACAAATTGTACTATGTGATCTCAACGGAAATGATCATTCACCTATTGCAAGAGGAAATTTCGTGTTTTCAAGGTGAGAGCTTTTAAGTGAAATAGAAATATCGGGATAGGCTAGTTTATCAGCTCAAAGACGAGACTAGAGTAGCCTCTAGATCACCAGGTGAATTCATTTCTGTACTTCAAAGCACCTGTGCTTTCAAAAAATGCGTCTTTGGTATCAAGGTACTTGTGGAGTATCGGGGGGGTAAAATTTTAAGATCCGGGGGTAAAATTTTATTGGGTTGTCCAGTTATGGATGCGCGTTTTTACTATTTTGTAAATTTCTCAAGATATCGAACATATGTATATGAGTGTTATAGTTTTTGTATATTAGAACAGATGTATATTAGTTTTTGAATTCATTCAACTTTTTGGGAAATTGACTGCACAAAGGGAGAGGACGTTTTCGAAAAAACCCATTCCAGCTTAGCTATTCCTCAAGTTTTATGGTGTAAAATAACCGCCCAGAAAAAAAAAAGAAAAGTAAAGATGCTCTGAAATTGTTATATTTTTAAAAAAGTTGTATTGATATATCTATTGGCCAAACATCAAACGGTTAATTCAATTTGAGCGGAGCCAAAACTTGATCCAAAGACACCCTTCCATTTTTTTGGCCACCTCTTCTTCTGTGCAGTCAATTTGCGCAAAAGCTGGACAAATTCAAAAGCTTTTTATATCAAAATGTAGAGGAGATCTTCAGCTTTCGAATAATACTCATATATATCTTTTTCTTGATTTCGGTATCTTGAGAAATTTACAAAATAGTAAAAAACGCGCATTCATAACTGGACAACCCAATATATACGTTATATACGACCCCTTTTAAAGATATTCAGCCGCTTAAGTGATTTGGTGGCAAATTCCCTTCAAATGTAAAGATATTCAATTTATTGAGGTGATTACTTGATTACGTGATTCGAGGTGATACTCGATCAAAAATGTAACTTCTACAAAATTTTTTTATTTCATTATTAGAAATGTTGATAATATCCTAGTTGGCGGCAAACATTTTCACACTAAATTGATGAAATTCTATTTAAAACGCTAAAATTAACGCAAAATGATATAAGTTTAAAGGTTTAAGTTTAAGGGTTTAACAAAAAGTTAAACATTTGCCTCAAGAATTTCATTTTTAGTTACAAAGCCTATGGTAAATGTAAAATTTCACGGAATTTGCGTTAATCTATTGATCTTTAGACCATTAATCAGATCATGAGCAATATTTTCGTTCTTCATTTAAACTCTGAAAGCGATAGGTGCAAAAAATTGATAAAAGTAGCAGAATGGTCAAAAAGTTAAAAAAAAGTTAAAATTTTACCCCACCGGATCTTAAAATTTTACCCCCCCGATACTCCCCAAGTACCGGTATCAAAAATAGCCCTGAATTTCAGCTATTTTTTGATATTCAAACGAACACTGTAGCTTAAACCAGTGTCGAGAAAAACGTTAGTTTCTCAGCTCAAACATTATGCTCGTCGAGCTAAAGGTGGAAAAAAGAACAAGAAAATGAGAACAAGAAAAATTTAGAGGAGGAGAAAGGTCGGAGAAAGGTCGAGGAGAAAGCTCCGGAACACACGGATTTGGCTGGAGATAAAGCACATGAAGCAAAAGGTTTGTGAATGGATTAGATCGATTTAGAAATAAGATAAGATCATCAGCTTATCGTTGAGTGAAATTATAAGCTTAATCTTTTATTTTCTTTTGAAAACATTATAGTTTTGCAGAGTCGACAAAAGAGACTACAAAACAATACGCACAACAAGCCGGGAGAAAGTTGAGCAATGCAGCAGGTGATGGTTTAATTTAAAACAAGTAAAAAGAAGCAAATGCTAGTTAGAAATGTGATAAAATGACTTAGAAGAAAGTCATGGCGAGTTGCGCATCTAACCCTGTTTAGATTAAGGTATTCAGTTAAGATTAGCTGGATAACGGTATTCAGTCTAGATTAGCTGGATTACGGTATTTACAGGGTGCGGCAAAAGTTTGGAGCCGCTACGAAAATATTGCAGAAAAGCTCAGGCTTGCTCAGGCTTTTTTTTGTGTCTCGTATACTTTTTTTCCTTTTTTCGAGTATAGTTAAGGTGTTTGTTACAAAAATTTTCTTTTTAGGAGAAAATTCGTAAGAATGAACGCCAAAAAACGACGCGATGTAATTCTCGGATTATACCAAGGCGGAAAAAATAGTCTAGAGATCGTAAAAATCACGAAATATCCAAAAAGCACCGTCAACAAAGCAATCAAACGCTACAAGGAGTCAAAGAGCAATAAGGATCGCCTTCGAAGTGGTCGACCACCAACTGCCGCAACACCTACGAACATCAACAAAATTCGCTGTCGGATTCGCCAAAACAAGCTGCGGTCGATGCGAAAGATGGGCAAACAGCTGAAAATTAGCCCTCGAAGCGTTGGAAGGATTGCTAAAGGGAAACTAGGATTCTGTAGCTACAAATTGGCCAAAGCACACTTCTTGAACGACAAATCCAAGAAGAAACGAAAGCGTCTAGCAAAGAAGATGGTGCGCTTGGTGGCGAATGGCCGACTTGAGAGGATCCTCTTCACAGATGAAAAGATTTTTCCTATACGGCACTTACTCTAGATTGGTGTTTAGATTAAGGTATTCAGTCTAGATTAGCTGGATTACGGTATTCAGTCTAGATTAGGATATTCAGTTCAAAAGTTGCGGAAACTAGCCAACTTCCAAATATCAATTCATCGACGGCTGAATACTTTTTTAAACCCCCCGAGTACTGTATTTTAAACCAATATTTGATATTTTCAGAAAAACCTCCTGAAATGCTCAAAAACTTCGAAGATTTTTGGCGAAATCTCCAGCTGCATGATCTCAATGGCCAAAAAAAACGAATAAAATAGTTATTGTTGAATAAATTATGAGATATATTTAAAAATTCAAACTGCAACCTACTCAAAACTATGTCTTTTTACATTTTAATTTTAAAAATCAACCAAAATAGTTTAGTTACCCAATTGCAAGTCAATGATTGGGCAGCTAAACCATTTCTGATATCATGGTGCGTCAAAATGATTGACCGCTCCTATAAATCTTGTTTTTTTTTTCAAAAACTTATTTATGAACATAAATTCCTTTCTAAAACAATGAAAATAATCTGTAAAAACAAAAAATAAAGTTAATAAAACTTGGTTTGACCTTCTTTTGCTCGGATCGGATTCGTGAAGACTACTTGGAAAAAAATCGACCGTGCGTCGCAGGCAATCTTCATCAAAATCGCCTCAATCTTTCGATTAAAGCTGATACGAAAACACTGCAACAAAGCAACAAAGCTAATTGTACAACAAAGCACCTCAAAGCTTTGCTTCAGTGATATTTTGATTTTAAAAAAGTGGCTTAATTTAATTAATTCTTTGGCTTAATTTGTTTGAAAAGATTCACATTTTGTACGTCTTCCATTAGGATGGAACGCCCGCTCATACCGCTTTGTAGACATTGTTTTGGATTAGATTTTAGTCGGTTCAGATCCGAAACAGTCGTCCATCGGATCGGATCGGATCAGTTCAAATCCCAAGCAGTCGTCCATCGAATCAGATCGGATCAGCTCAGCTTCGAAACAGTCGTCCATCGGATTGGATCGAATCGGATCAGTTCAGCTCCCAAGCAGTCGTCCATCGAATCAGATCCGATCAGTTCAGCTTCGAAACAGATCGGATCGGATCAGATCTGATTAAACACATTTTATTTCTCTTTAGAACTGGTCGCATTTGAACGACTTTAATAATATCGGCTAATATGGAATAGTGGTTTAAAGTTAAATTTTGTGTTTTAGAGAGCGATGCCAAGATTCTTAAAGACTTTGCTTTTTGGAAATAATTTAGAAACAGCAAAGAAATACTGTCTTGGATCGAATTGGATTTGATCCAAAAGTCGCTTTCTCGGATCGGATCAGATCCGAAATTCCACTTTTTCAGATCGGATCGGATTTTATCCCATTTTATCCAATCTCACTTAAATCTAGTCCAGACCGTAGGCCTGGACTGGACAAAATTTGCGCTAATCAAAGCTCTAGCTTGAGCTGGCTGCTTACAATTGGTCTGCTGCTTTACTGGATTACTGTAAGACAGCAGACTGCAGTAGGATAGCTGAAAAATGTGCAATTTGGTGAGGCTCACTTGAGAAGAAACCGATAGTATCAGCTGGATCTTTCATCCATTTTTGCCGAAGATCGAAGTGGCCGTGTGGCTCCTCGGCTTGGGTTGAAAAAAGCTCTGTACTCGTTCTTTTGATCAACCTAGAGTTGGAGATTTATTCGGACTTAGAAATCTTACCGTAATTGCGCTTGCAACAAAGCTAATTGTAAGCACAAGATGATTAAATTATTGTAACTAAATTTGTTTCCTGTAATTTCTTTATTCAGCTGTCATTTTCGTGACGAAATGCATCTAATCTACCTCTTCCCTTTTTCTCTTTTGAGTAATTTCAACACGGATCACATAGCATTCAAAAGGATTTATTTTTATATCGGAAATCGGGAATGCATAAATAGTCTTTGTTCTACTAATCGCTAATCCCACGTGCTTCATTCACACATAGTAAAAAGTATCGCAAATGAAGCCTTCCAAAGCTCACAATTTTTCCAATCTTCAGCAGATCTGCGTAACTTATCCAAAGAATTTGCAAATCACATCACCGATTAAAACGATTTATGTGCAGTTAATGTTGATGTTGATGTCATTCTTTGATAAAAGTTAACAATTCTTGTTGATCGCCTTTCGATCTTGTCTGTCGTGACGATCTTGTCTGTCGTGACGATCTCGTGATCGAGACGATCTATTATTGCTGTAATAAAGATTATATCTAAACCAACAATAATCACTACATTGTCTTTATCGCAAAGAACATCTTGAGATAAAGTTTTAAAGCCAATTCATTTCGAAAAGCAATAATTTGTTACACTTTAAAAGAGGATCCAAATTAAGACCGATTCTCATTAAAGAAATCATCGGCAGATAGACAGTAATAGAATTTTTGTACAAATTTACAGCCGGCTGGGGGCTGGACTGCAATATCTTTTTATAAAAACTGCAATGCAAAAGAAAATTCACTATAGACAAAGATCTCGAGGTGTTCTTTGTGTGTTCTCTCGACTGTGTTCTCTCGGTGTTCTTTGTGTGTTCTCTCGAGGTGTTCTCTCGACGTGTGCACGATCGCTTGTCATCTTTTATTTCGGTTCCGGTATATAAGAGGCTCCCCTTTCAGAATCCCTTTCGGAAATGGGGAAGTAGTGATGAGCGAATGAGCCGGCTTGACCGTCGCTTGATCATTGGCCTAAGTTTCTCAGGCCAGTGGTTTTGCCTTAAATTTGGCTGGATTTTTTCTACGAATTCTACATCCAGTCAAACTAAAACTAGCTGAGATACTCAAGGCTTGAAATTGACGTGAAAAGCTGCCTTTTAATCCCTGATAAATTCTTGATAAATCAAGATGAAATTGAAAATAAGACTGAGAAATAAATCCAAATCGAATCGACCAATTCGATGCTGATCAAGAAGCCCCCTTGATAAGCATCGAATTTGTCTCTAGTGTGCTTTCATGTTGTGTGTGTCATTCCCCCTGCGGGCACCATTTTCGACCTCCCCTCCTACCCTCATTGCCCCTCCTTGTCCCCCATTACTTTCCCCTCTTCAATCTCTTTCCCGATCAATCGATACGTCTAGACCGGTCCTCCTCAATGACCCTTTTTTGTCTACCAAGTCTATCCAAGACATTCCAATGCTAATTATCGCATTGACAAAGTCTTTCATTAAGGTGATAACTACACTTTTACACTTCTTTAGGTACTTTTTTTGTTATTAATAGACTGAACACGACTTAATCATAGGTTTGCTTAAAACTTCAAAGCTTTCATATTTCTTTGTTCTACTTTCAACCCTTAGCACCTCAATTTTTAGGTTTTAATCATAAGATTGAAAATTAGGACTAAAAGAGATCAAAGTTTTTGTTGAAAACCCAGTTTTGAAGAGTATTTTTCTTTGATTTTTCGATAAAATTTGTTTTTCAAATAGTGCATCCGGTTTTTTTTAAAAGCTAAATTCTCGAGTCTACAAAAAGTATAACCTAGCATCTAAACTTTAACTTTTATCAACCCTACTTACCTTTCTGCATTTGGAATAAGCTTGATTGTCTAAGTTTGTTTGTTAGCTAAGCTTTAGACGATCAAATTTAGACGATTTAGACGATTTAGACGATTTAGACAATTCGCGTCTAATCATAATCCGAATCTTTTCTTGTTTTCGAAAATTTTCCTTTAATTCAATTGAAGGACATAAATTCACTTGCTTACTAGTTTTTGCAGACTGCTGGAGAAAGATTGTTGGAGGAGATTGGCTGACTTCTTAGTTCAACAAAGAAACTCGTTGTTGTTGCTAATGTTGGCTTGTTGGCTTTGTATCCTTGTCTTTACAGCCAGCTTAATTATCCATAGATTTGAAATTTTCCTTGCTTCCTTTTCCTTTTCCTTTTCTTTGATTAGTAAAGAGTTTTTTCAGTTCAATGGATCGCGATGGTAGCCGCAATTCTCCAAACTCCGATCTAGACTCATCAAATGAATATGTGAATGCTGCGAATTGCAATCAAAGGTCGGTTCAAGTTAAAGCAAAATTTTTATAAAAGATATCTATTACATAAAACTTTATGCAATCGATATTTTTATAGCAGAAGGCCCGAAGGAGCTCATAGAAAGAATTCTGAAGATTTGGATAGTGTTGATCAATTTGTCAGTGTCAATGTGTTCTGTGCGTTCCAAAATTGGCAACCTATGTTCTAATTGGGAGATTCAATGAAACATTTTGGAATCCCCAAAGGCCCGAAGGAGCGGTGAGCGACTGAGCCGGCTTCGGCTCCCTGGGGGTCATTATGCCCAAATCCATGGGAAGAATTTAGCCTCTACCGTGTGCGTTTATGCAAAAAGTTTTATATTGACGTAAGCGCGCGACTTCTTTACATTCGCTTTCATTTTGCTCATTTATCCAATTCAATTATCCAATTGAATCCAATTTCAATCCAATGAAAATCATTCTTTTTGTCGACAATATCGATTTAAAATTGAACCTTTTCTAGAAGAAAAATTGGGCAATCTTTAAATGAAAATACGGATTATAAAGAGATTTTCTCGATTTCTCGACTTTTCCATCTAAAAAAGTGTTTTTCGACTCCGCTTTTTTCAAAGGTTTTTCCAAAATCCCTCAGGGGTTAGAAATAGGCCAACAATTATGAAATGAAGAGATTTTTGCTTATAAAAAAATCGTTGTAGTCTTTTGTATTAGATCAATTTTGAATTTATTGACATTTAAATGCTGAAAGTATAGAAATAAAGAGATTCAACCAATGGTTTTTGTCGTATTCTAAGCCTAAACTGTCGCCGCCGAACGGATAGGAGTCTTGTCTCCTATCCGTTCGTCTTGTCTGTCTCCTAATTGGGAGATCAAAGGTTCGATCCCGGAAAAATTAGCTCTTTTTTCCATCATTGATTTTTTTCTTAAAAACATTTGGGTAATAGGGTAATAATAATAACTAAGGGTAAAAATTTCCTCCGTTGTTTTGTAATTCATTATTCGTGTCGAATAAACATACTTTTTGTATTGGATTTGTTTTTCATTACCGTATTTTCTTTAATAGTAGTGAGAGTCGCCTAAATTGCTCGAAATCTCGAGAAGCGCTTATCAGAACCTATCGATGTGGGGTCGGAAAATGTAGCTGACGATGAGATCTAGTAGGGGATTTGAGTGTTGAGCTTTTGCAAAAGCTTGGAAACCGTAAAATAGTCATCAACTCGGCTCGTCGCGGTGCACTACTATGAGAGAGAATACGGTTTTCAATTTACCGCTTGTAAGCTTGATTAGGCATCAGATTTTCGTTAGATTTATCACCAAAAGTTCACTTTTCCCATTGGTGCCATTATTTAGTCATTATCTTTTAAGCTTTTAAGCATAAATAGATTCAAATGTAAGATACTGTATTCTCTCTAATAGTAGTGCACCCTGAGCGTCGCCTAAATTGCTCGAAATCTCGAGAAGCGTTTATCAGAACCTATCGATGTGGGGTCGGAAAATGTAGCTGACGATGAGATCTAGTAGGGGATTTAAGTGTTGAGCTTCTACAAAAGCTTGGAAACCGTAAAATAGTCATCAACTCGGCGGGGTGCACTACTATTAGAGAGTATAAGGTATTTAGATATGAACAAAAGTTTTGCGATGCTTTACTGCTCGAAATCTCGAAAGCTACTGGTCCTAAATTGCTTGAAATCTCGAGAATCGCTTATCAGAACCCGTGGGGTCGGAAATGTAGCTGGCGATGAGATCTAGTGGCGATTAGAGTGTTGAGCTTCTGGGAAAACTTAGAAACCGTAAAATAGTGATCAACTCGGCTCGGCGGGGTGCACTACTAGAAAATAATCAGGGAAAAGCATCTAATCTACAACCTAAAGTTGCTCAAAGCTTCTGGGAAAACTTAGAAACCGTAAAATAGTCATCAACTCATCTGCATCAACTCATCTCATCTGCAATAATTTTGATCGAATTTGACTGAAATTTTGAACCTTTTAGTCAAGTTTGATTGAAAATTTCGATGAAACTTATAGATGTTTAGTTAAAGTTAAGTTTAGCTACCATTTAGTTAAGCTACCATTTACCGTTATCATTCTCCGTTCTCGTTGCATTTTACAGTTTACATTCTCCGTTATCGGTAAACTCTATTATCTCATTTCCTTGTCTATTTTCAGTGAATTTATTGTAAAAAAATTGAAAGCTATTCATTTTCGTTGACTATTTTTCCCAATCTTTTTATCAATTCAATAAAATTCACAGAAAAAGCCTTTTTTTTGAATATTTTGCTATCTAAAGATAAGATTTCCAAGAACTTTAACGAAGATTGAGCTTTTTCAACACACAACTTCTTGAACACACAACTTTTGATCAACTTTTTGATCCTCGTACTTTTCCCCATCTCATTTTCGATTCCTTCAAAATCTTTCACTTTTAAAAGCCTTTCCAAATCTTTCCCCAAGCGTTTTTTATCCAAATAGAGAGCAAAGAACAGCCTTTTGAAGGGAAGAAAGTTGTAAACAAGTTCTTTTTTCCGTTCCACTTCATTTCCCCTTTTCCGAACATAACACTCCCAATTATTTTTGGTACAAACACTTTCCAAAATGTTTAAAGCACGTTTTGAAAGCAAATCTTTATGTCTTGATTGTATGTGAAAAGCTTTACAACTTAGTAATCTTTAGTAATCTCTTAGTAATCTTTGAAAATCCAGTTAGTTTGCCAATTTGGTCTTGAATAAGATTAAATCGAGTGAATTCATTCATTTCTTCTTCTTCAGAACCACTTCTTCATTCATTTTTCTTCATCTTTTTTCAAAAGTCTTTTGATGCAATTTTTGACTGTGAGTCACAAAAATGATCGAAAGTTTTTCCCACTCAATCATGTGAAATTTTCATTTTGGGGATTTTGATTCGTCAAAATTTTAACGAAGCCTCATTATTAAATAAAAATGTACATCGTTTTACCTTCTTTCATGTATTTACCTTAAATAAAACTTATATCAGCTGAAAATGGAATCTTTTTTGTAATTTTAGTGCCTTGAAGTGGTATTTCTACGTTCTGCGTTAGAATGATTAACAATAAGACAAAAAAAAGATAATTTAACACATTCACGACGAGGTTTCTTGCTTTTTGAAGTTATTTCCCTTTCAGATCGTCTAAAAACGTTCACAGGCAACCGATTTATTTAAATTACGGATGAAAATGAAGAGAAATCTTTGAGGATCATTTATCTGAAAACAGATTAAAGAAATATTGAGCTTGAAGAAAGTTTAGAATGTTTTAGGATGAGAAATTTCCGGAGAAGCAAGCTCCGGGTTTATTTGGCTTTCAAAGGTTCATAACTTTCTTTAAAGTCAATTTTTTTCAAACAGTCTTTAGATAAATGATCTTCAAAGATTTTTCTTTATTTTCATTTGTAATTTAAGTAAATCTGCCTTTGAACTTTTTTAGATGAGCTGGAAGGGAAACAACTTACGCAAAAATTAAAAAAACTTGTCATGAATGTGTTAAACGAGTATAGTATCCAGTAGAGTGTGTTCCTCGCGAGTAATGCGTTTTTTAAAACACACACTTGGGGAAAAATTACCGTACTTTTAGCAAAAACTATTGCAAAAAAAATGAGGCAAAAATCACGAGCCGCGCATTATATACGACACTTTTTAAAAATAAAAGATACTCAGCGGATTAACTGATTTGGTGGGAAATTCCCTTCCAATGTAGAAAATCATTTTTTTTTTGAAAAACTTGGGGGGTGGGACAAATGCGACCTTTTTTGCGCACCTGGACATTTGCGCACCTTTTTTTGCTGGAAAAGGCCTTAGGAAGGCCGTAGAGCTGCGAAAATATTTCCATATAAGGGAATCGTATGCGTAGATTCCGAATTTCGACAAATCAGACCTCGCTGACACGTCAAATTTGGGCTAAAAGGCAAAAACTGCGGAAAAGCGTTAAGTTGCGTAGTTTTTGCCTTTTAGCCCAAATTTGACGTGTCAGCGAGGTTTGATTTGTCGAAATTCTGAATCTACGCATACGATTCCCTTATATGGAAATATTTTCGAAGCTCTACGGCCTTGCCTAAGGCCTTTTCCAGCAAAAAAAAGGTCGCATTTGTCCCACCCCCAAAAAAAATGACGCAAAAGGACAAGCCCCGCATTATATACGACACTTTTTAAAGATACTCAGCCGATTAACTGATTTGGTGGGAAATTCCCTTCCAATGTAAAAAATCATTTTTTTTTTGAAAAACCTCCGCAAAAAATTGCTTTTATATTTTTTTCGCGCAGGCGCACTTTTTCGAAAACGCATTACTCGCCAATTACTCGTGCAAATTGACTCGAGTAATTACTTACTCGCGAGGAACACACTCTAGTATCCAGTAATGAAGCATAAATTGATTCGGCGCTAATTTCATTCGAATTTTCTTCTTTTACGAACGATTTTAACACCTAATACCTGCATGTCTTTCGCATTTTAAGGCGATAAGTGACGAATTACCGTCGATTAGATAGCCAACTAATCCCGTAATTGCCAAAGATCTTTGCTTTTTGTAGTTTACTTATCGCCTAGAGTAATTGTACGCAAATTATCCTGGCTTTGAATAATGGAAAAGTTTCAAAAAGAAACGCGGCCACTAGCAAAAAGTGATCTTTGAGCAAAGAGAATTGCACTGATCGTTTTTGGTTTTTCTTTTGCAAGCTAACCTTGATTTTTTAGAATTTCATACGAATTATATCCATTTTTTCGTTTCAAAAGCTTTACTTTATCTTTATTTTCCACAAAATTCACCAAAAACAACTCCCAATAGCTATTTCTATGCGAATTTCTGTGGCAAATGTGATTTTTCATCGCTTAAATTTAGAAAGATCTGCGTCTCTCGATTTCCTTTTTCTCTCTCTTCTGTTGTTGTGTATTGTAGCGTAGCGGTTGCGCCGCGTCTGCCTATCTTTTCCTTAAAAAACAATCGCTAAACATAAATAGCCTCATTCAAAACAGTTTGAATTGATTTTTGTATTGTAAAGTGAAATTTTTTTTAAACTTTCATCTTTCTTAAAAGTATTCCAGCTTTCAGCTCAGTTTTGAGATATTTCGTTATTTTATTTTGCACAGTTTCAAATTTTAAAGTTGATCTGAAAGACTCTAAAGCTTTAATCCATTAGATTAATTTTTTTTTGGATAAACTTCTTTAACTTTCAAGCGTCACAGCTTTTGTGATCAAGTTCCATTTTTGCTAAAACGCACCTTTATAGTGTTTCCTTTGTTCTTAATTTCAATTTCAATTCAATTTCAAATTCATTTATTCCAATCACTATATCTTTTCTTTTAGAATGGACCAGTACGAAAACCCGTATTCCTACACAAATTACGAGAATCAACCGCAAGGACAATGGCGCGGAAGGGGAAGAGGAGGTGGACAAAATTGGAGAGGACAAGGGAATTGGCAGAATGGAGGAAGAGGAGGGGGGAGGAGGAGGAGGGAATTGGCAATGGAGAGGAGGAGGAGGGGGTGGCGGGAGAGGACAATGGAGAGGTGCACAGCAACAACGCCACTCTCACGAACACACCGAGATCGAGCAAACCGACTTCGATGAGAACCGCTTTGTCATCCCGCGAATGACCCAGAATCCATGGGCGAGGCTGGAGCAAGCTCAAGAGGCGAAGAGAAAGATGAAAATGGACACGAAATAGAATCCATTTTTAGTAAACTTTTTAATCTTGTAGCTAAAATTGGTATTCACTTCACTTTTGTAAGTTGGTAGTTGATATTTTTTTCTTAAATCTTCAATCTTTCTACAATTTTCAAATGTTAAATCAAATCTTTTTTCTGAAATCTTTAAATTTTCTTTCTCCTAGCTCTGGCCAGTCATATTTAAAAGAAAGATGAACATCTTCAACTTGTCTCAAAGCTGCATTACAATATCTTTAACTTAACTTGTAAAATTGGATGCTATTCAGCCAATTGAATACTTTTTACTGTAGTGAAACTGTAAATGTCCCGGACTTGACCGTTTTTTTAAGAAATCTAACTGGATTTCTGGCCAGATATGGGCATAAATGGGGCTAATATGATTTTTAAGGATTCTTTTTAAACTTGAACTTCAGCATCAAAACTTTGCAATCATCTCCTTTCTATCCAACCTTCACTCTTTGATCTCTGTGATTAAATTAAGGGTTCTTGTTAAACAAATCGTTGTTATGAGATTTATTTGACTTATCATTTGAGAATTTTCAATTTTTCAATCAATAAATTTCTAGATTCGATCGTCCACAAGTCGAGCGTCACTGCCGTCCGAACACCTTTGCTTACAGCCCACAATCAACTGATTCCTCTCACAATTCATACCATCAGAAGAACACATTCCATCAACAACACTTCTCCACATCTTTTCAACAACCCGCCGATAACTCGAATTTCTTCTCACCAAATCAATCGGCTGATCAGACTCGTCACTTGCACGATCCGGCTTTTGATTTTCAGGTTTGGAACAATTTTCTTGTTTTCTAATTTTCAAATTTAGCGATTCCCATCCAATCATCTCGTTAGTTCTTTTTCCTGTCACGGAAGCGACCCACAAAGTTTAGAGGTTGGAAAGAATGCTAGACAATTACAATTCTTGCGAATACAAGTGTACCAAACCAGGTTTCACTAAGTGATATCTGATTTAAACAAAAATTGTATTGTATGAGTTGCTCTAACGTTATAACTTTGTTGGAAATGATTTATTAGACAGAAATAGCACAATTTTGATTTGAGAAAGCCTTTCTAAATAATTTTTTTCTAAAGAAATCCGTCAAAAATGACATCGTTCCGAAGAAAGGCCGGCTAGCGCTCATTTGCGAGCTTGGTAGTTGAAGCCAATTTTATAGTTTGCAAGTTTTGCGGTAGATAAATGTAGCCAAGATTCAGGGCTACAATTCTCTATATAACACTTAGTACTTTGGTATTAAACTAGGCCTTTGACAAACTAGATTACCAAAAGCCCATATTTGTTTGTTATTTAGCTTGTCAACTTATTAGACCAAAAGTTCAATCAAATTATTAGGCAACAAGTTGAGTAAGACTAATTGTAAGCTTAGTAGAGATTGAAACATTTTCAGGGAACGCTTTCGACTTCTCTCAAGCAAGATTCACGAGCAAGGTCATCTCACTCTTCTCGCCGATCTCTCTCCCCACAGTCGCTCCACCAAAGTGGCTCAGCGACATCGAACAGAGGAACAACAGGAAATCATCTCAGATTTGGTTGGTTTAATCAGTTTACAGTACGTGACTACGGTTAAACTTGGTTTATTGATTACCCACCATATCAAGAAGACACTAGGAACCAAATTCATCTAACCAACACTAATTTTAGAAACTTCAACCCCGCAACTCAACCAGAACTCTCTTTCCGATTTAGACGATTTCCCTGATTTTTTAAACTCCCCGGAATTTCAGAGAGTGAGTTTCAAAAAATTAACAATATGCAGCTTGATTTCAGGAAACTCTTGCTTATCAGAAAACCTCTCGTGAGGAAGAAAACAACCCGAAACTGGCCGAACAGGGGGAAATCAAATCACCATTTCATAATCTTTGGGATACGGAAAGACCACGTCAAGGAGGTGAGCGAGACTTTAAACTTAGCATTTGCAAATTAATTTACGAACATTTTAGCCTTTGTCGCTCCGCCGCCGAATGCTGCAATCGGTGAAACGCCACAGCATCGACAATCCGAAGATCGCGATGGTGAGTTGTTGAAGCTGAGGAGCTTAGATTAAAATATTAACGATAAGTCAAGAATTCAAGCGATTTTATTTTAGCAACACACACTTACTAATTTAATAGCAGAACACGTCAGAAAAAGTTGTACGACTAGGTGGTTTGGTGGTGGATTAAAGCATTTACAACACAGGAAAAGTGAAAAGTTGAAACTAGTAGCCTTCAGAGTAGCCTGAATAAAATGCTAACTAGCTCTAGGGTTAACTTTCAGCTAGATCACCGATAGACGTTGAACAGGCGGGTCCCTCGGGTGGGGATTCGCCCCGCGATGGAACACCACCAACGGCGATCCCCGCCGGCGGAAGACCGACTGCGAATGATGCTTGTGCTTCGATCGTCAACCATTTGATGCTATTCAATTTGGTAGGAATGTTTTAAGCTTACAATCGTCGTCATTCAATCAATCACTTTTAGTCCAAAGATGAGGACTTTAGCCGGAAAGCTTGTGAATCGTTGATCCGGAAAATGAAGGTATGCCTGGAAAACGGCTAACTATAGGCCAATAAAGTACAGTCAACAATACTCTCTATAACGGAATGAAAACGACCAAAAAGTTTCCCCGTCATATATAGAGAATTTCAAGTCCAAATATTTTTTCCGTTATACGGAGTTTTTCAATGCGTTTTTATTTGCATAAGTGTTTTATTTATTTCTTAAAATAAATTCATAATAAAAACAATGCAATCGTACCAATTTTGTTAAACTAAACTTTTGCAAAGTTTAAAAAAAATTCGTTATCTTGCTATCGCCTTTAAATGCCAAAGTTGAATCGGGAGAACATCGCCAAAATAGTCCAGTCTCATCAAGATTAAAAACATTAGCGGCTCGATATTGCTTATACAAGACGTCTTTTTGCCAATCCTGTAAATCATCCACGTTGACATCCTTCTCTTCGCCTTGAAAACAATCGAGTGGCGCTTCTTGAAAGACGACAACCATCCTTCGCTTGCTTTAAAATCGGTATTTCTAGAGCATTTTGCAAGAGAAAGGGCTTTTCTCACAAAGAATTTGACCGCTAATCGAAATATTTCGCTGCGCTGCTCCTTGAACCATGATAGAATTTCCTCGTCTAAAGTTTCGTCTTTTGCTACACGTGCTCTTTTGATTGTTGGCGATGAAATCGAAGCTTCTTCTAATATTGATTCGCTTTGTGCCAAAATCGCATAAAAAGCGATCTTCTTCAATCCGTACTTGGCTTGAATTTCATCATTCGTGTATTTTCCTCCTCGTTTATCCTCGATAAGTTGAGCTATCTGCGCGAGTGAGAGAATTGTTCGTTTGTTCGTTTGTTCATTGCCATCCCTAAAATCAGACAGTATTAAAGCAAACAAAAGTATTGAAAGAAAAATAAGTAAGAAAGACCAAGAATAAGTAAACGTAAACTTTTAAATAAATAGTATATTTAACCAATATGTAAATATAAAATACCAGCGGTTAACGCTGGGAGTGGGACAAATGCTACCTTTTTTTGCGCACCCGGACATTTGCGCACCTTTTTTTTCGCACCTTGCCCATTAGCGCACCTTTTTTCGCGTTTTAAAAAAGCTTTAAAAAGCTAATATTAACCAATTTCTATTCCAAAAGTTGTTTTTCTAGGTAATTTTAGGACGTAGAATCGAAATTTTGACATATCAGCACGTGTGGCTGACTGGTTAAGTGTCTTTTATCTTAATCGGAAGGTCGAGGGTTCGAACCCCAGATGCGACATGGTCACCCCCTTCGGATTTCCTTTCCCTTCGGGTTGAGAGGTTTTCTGGAGGGCAGTCTGGTGGTTGTGGCCCCAGTTCTTTAAAGTGACAAGCCACTCCTTCATCGTCATCTTCCCTTCACCACCAAAAAAGCTATTTAGTTCCCCATTGAGCTTAGGGTTAGGGAGCCGTCTGTCATGACGTGGGTTAAGTTAAGATATAGCCTAGTATTGTGTGTGTCGTTGTATTGTGATTGATATATTTCGTGTATGCGATAAATTCACCACTGGTAGCCCCAGTCGGAATTTTTTATATCAGAGCTTGTGGAACCAATTTGAAAGACAAAACGGCTAGATCAAATTACAGAAAATTGTCGACTTTTCTCTTTGTATAACTCCGTCCGTTTGTTTCCACAAGCTCTGATATGTCAAAATTTCGATTCTACGCCCTAAAATTACCTAGAAAAACAACTTTTGGAATAGAAATTGGTTAATATTAGCTTTTTAGAGCTTTTTTAAAACGCGAAAAAAGGTGCGCAAATGTCCGGGTGCGCAAAAAAAGGTCGCATTTGTCCCACTCCCGTTAACGCTTACTAACGTTCGCGTTTTCCACTGGGGAGGTCCACGGTTTTGCACGAAATCTAAGCCCCGCCCCTTTTTGCCAATGGCTGTGCACAGACAGACGGACGTATCTTCTGCTTTATAGTAGATTACGTAATATTGAAGAGCTTGGCATTGAGTTAATCAATTTGATGACTAACTCAATGCCAAGCTTATCTATATCTAACTAGATTAACTATTCCGTTCGATAAAGAGGCCATGATATAAGCGGTTTCAAATTTTTCGCTTATAGAGAGTTTCCGTTATATAAAATTCAGTTATATAGAGTTTTTTATATTTAAAATAGCTTAGCGTCAACCGGGACCAAATTTCATTCCGTTATATAGAGCTTTCTGCTTAGATAGAGATCCGTTTATAGAGAGTCGACTGTAAACCAATAAAACTGATCGATTCAATTACCGAATTACAGGATAAACGCGGAGAGTTGGACACGTTGATCAATGCGGTCTCCTCGCTTGGAAATGAACCCGGCCCATGTGTGACAATTCAAAGAACTCTTGATGGAAGACTTCAAGTGGGTTCATAAGCAGCTTATCCTTGTACTTTACTCTCAATATTTGCTCTTTTTCAGGTTGCCGGTCGAAAGGGTTTCCCACACGTCGTCTACGCGAAGATTTGGCGTTGGCCGGATCTCCATAAAAACGAGCTCAAGCACTTGCCCATCTGCAAATGTGCTTTCGATTTGAAAGTCGATGTGGTTAGTCGTTTGGGATTTGCTGCTAGTCAAATGAGCATATTCTGCTTTAGCATAAATTAAGAACAGATATAATTGCTTAAGTTATGATAGCAGTTCAAAATTTTCAGCTCAAACTTGACAAGGGCTTGCGAGCTGGGTAGGATGAGTCAGTTCAGACTGAGAGTCAGGCTAGCTTTCAGTTAAGTCAAGATTTGTCTTCAGACTTGACCTCTTTGTTGGTTTTTGGTTAACTTATAGCTGATCACCCTAGTTTGAGTTGTGAATTTCGGAACAACTATCAGATATCCTTTTTCACCAAACTTAAACAACTTAGACAAACTTTCTAAGCTTACTAGGGAAAGGCATGAACTCAAGGTGAGCTTTTGTGGACACTTACTGCACTTTATAGAATGAGGAAACTTTATAGAATGAAAATGAGAACTTTATAAAATAAAAAAACTATAGAATGAGTAGAAACTATAGAAAAACTATAGAAAAATCTGAAATCTGAAAGCTAATTGCATTGTGGCGGCTTGCAAAGTAGGAATTGGTTATTCAAGTTGATACACAATATGCTTTTTTCAATTCAATTCAATTTAAGTGTTCTGTTATCGATTTTCTTTCTTGTTAACTTGTTTTAAAACGATCAAAAAAATTAAAAGAAAAACCATAATGCAATTAGCTATAAAATCCTAGAAGTTGTTTCAACAGAAAAACAAAAACAAAAAGCCGCATCATGGAGCGAACTCTGATCTTTTGCACGGATCTATTGCCCTGATCTATTGCGCTATCTACTAGGCCACTAACGTACCTTTCTACCGCTAGGAAGAAGCCTTTTAAAGCAAATCGTTTTGTTGAAGCAAAATCTCTTGAGCTCAGCTCAGCTTGAGCTCAGCAAGTTTTCGATTGAAGTTTTACACGTCTGGAAAGTCATTTGACTGATTTTGTTTTCACTTTCGAATTCCTCATACCCGATTCTATAAAGTGCACTGGGTGTCCAGACAAAAGCTCACCTTGAGTTCGTGCCTTTCCCTAGTTTGAAATGATTTCAGGTCTGTGTGAATCCACATCATTACGAGCGAGTCCTATCGCCGGCCATTTCCCAAATGATGAGCACCGATATGGCCAATCTCAAGTTTGTGAAATTTTGTATTTTAAGCTTAGAAGTTTAGCTGAAAATCTGAGCAATGAGCAAATGAGCAAATTTCAGTGGTGAAAGCGGTGCCAACGAGGTGTCAACTCGCTCATTCGACTTTGGCGCTCACGGGGCACACTCGCAAATCTCACCGAATTTCTCGATGAATGGTTGGCTTGGAAAAAAAAGATTTAAAGATAAATAGAGCATTAGTAGATAAGTAACTCATCCATTTTAATGCCGTAACTATTTCAGCCAGTATGGGAATTGATTTGGCTCCATTGAAAGCTTGCCTCGACAAAGGAGATGATGATGTCATTGCTATCGAAGATCCGAACAAGTGAGGCTTGAAAAGCTTAAATTCTTAAATTTAAACAATAAAATAACTAACGTTTCGAAGGTTCAAATGTAAAATTCTTAAATTTGTCAAACTTTTTATCTGTCTTTCAATCAACAATTGAAAAATGGCTCTTCTAAAATTCTAAAATGGCTATCCAGAAAATCTTTTCATTTCCTTTTCGTACTTCCGTTGAAAAATAACAAATTCACCAATTAACCTATGGTTTCCTTTAAATAAAAAGTGTTTATTGTTAAATTTCCCATCTTTCTAAGTCAATTTCGGCTCACTTTCAAGCAAATTTGAGAGGGAAAACACGTGTTTTTCGCAAAAAAAATCTATAAACAGCTCTACGAAGAAATTGGCTGAATGAATTTCTCTGAAAATTTGGCTATATATCAAACTTTTTGTGCTCTATCTTTTATCTATTGACACCAAATTAGGTTTCCTTAGCTAAAGTGTCTAAATTGCATCATCGAGCCGCATTTTTGACTACCCGACGTCACGCTCTCAAAAAATCCAGAAATAAGACATTTTAAACTCGTTTTAATGTTATTTTACAGAAAGGGATTGACCTCTTTTTAATGAAAGAAATCGTAGTTTAATTGATTTTAACTTGGTTTGTTGTGCATTTGTTGATTTTAAACGAAAGTACGAAAAGGAATGAAAAGCCTTTCTGGACAGCCTAACACTCAATCTGAATCTCATACTGATTCTAAAGGAGTTATTAACACCAGATCTATACCGCTGCTACCAGATCTAGATTCAGTTATTGAGCTTTTTTCACTTCTTAAGTCTCCAGACTATCAAATTTGTTTCAAAATATCCTCTCTAGCCTGTTTTATTGCTTTGGCGACATTTTTATTTACCAAAGCAAACAAACAACGGATTTATGACCCTTTTTCTTCTTCTCTTGTGACCGATTGAAAAAAATATGGGATTAAGCATAAAAAAAGCTATTCAGTCAATTTTGAATGTCTGAATAAACGTTTAGACGTCTATTAGACGTAGACTCCAGGGGATGAAGAAATAAAAATCGCATTCACCCCTCAGGAATTGTGACTGAATTTTTGCATTGACTCTTCAGGCAAAATCTTTTTGAGCTTGACTGAATAAATTCTAAACTCTAAAAATAGGTTTAGAAGCTTTGATTCAAAGGAATAGTAATCAAATCTTGTACTTTTTAAAATTGTTTCCCTACCTTGATTGGTTTCATTCATTTCGTCTCAAGCGCATTGAAGAAAATGAAAAATTAGGGTCAATTCAAACGTTCTGGGCACTGAGTTGATCAAGAACTATTTTGAAGTGTAGAAGACTAGTTAAATTTTGATTGTATATCAAAATTTCACCTGTTGAAAAAATAATTAGGTCGTAAGTCGAAAATTCGACTTTTCAGTTTAATAAACAAATGAAATTGGTTTTATTTTGGCTAGACAAAATGAATTTGTTTAGATATAGAAAAATGGCTTTTGTTTTGGCTAGACTAAACCAATTTATTTAGATATATTGACTAGGGGATGATGAATGACCGAGAAAAATGGCTTTACGGGAAAACGGCTGAGGGGAAAAGGGGGAAGAGAAAGTGCACAGACAGGTCAATTGGAGGGGAATGGGGAAAGGGATAAGTCTAGAGTCTGGAACACTTTTTTTTTGATCTATTTCTTTACCCACTTTTCTTCATTATGTAGTTTTTAAGTCAGTGGTTGTTTCTACGGTTAGAGCTGAACACAGCAAGGTCTTTTATGGGTCATGGATTCGAACCTGGCTCAGTTGCCAAACCAATGAGCTACATCGACCAATGAGCCATCGGTCATTTACCAATGAGCTACATCGACCAATGAGCCATCGGTCATTTACCAATGAGCTACCTCGACATCCAAATACCGCCAAATAAAAGCTTTACTTAAGCTTTATAAAGTTAATAAAGTAAGGCTTAAGCCTTCAGCTTTTTAAAGTTAATAAAGTAAAGCTTAAGCTTTAAGCTTTCTAAAGTTAATAAAACAATCCTTAGGCCTTACTTTAAAGTCTAATTAAAATTAAGGAAACAAATCTAAAGTCTAAATACGTTTAAAGAACAATTTTTAACAATTTCTCTTCAATTTTTGACAAGTTTTTGACAAGTTTACACTTTTTAAGTACAGATTTCTTTTGGAAAAACTTGTTTTTATAAATAGAATCTAGTCAAAAATTAAGAAATACTTGTTAGAAATCGATTGCAGAAATTAGAAATTACTATAAACTAGAGATTACTGTAATTAATGGCAATTTTACTTGCGATTACTGAAGTTTACATGACAGTATTGATATTGTTTCACAAATCTTTCGAGCATTCAGATTTATAGATAACCTTTCGTTGATCAGTCAACCTTTGTGATCAGCTGTGTGTAAAATTTGGATTACTTTATGAAGATAAAAAACATTCCCAAACTAAGAAGCGATTAAAAGCAAAATCCCACAAAAATAGCTCGACTTATCCAGAAATCTGTAGGCCAGACGGATCTTTTCTCTCTATTTCCCCCTCTTCACCTCTCGCTTTTCAGCCTTTCCCTCTCTTTTCCCCGTTTTCTCATTTCTATCTCTCTTCACCAATTTCCTTCCATTCTGTCTACTCAATTTCCATCTCCGTTTCCCATAAACCATGTCTAGAATACTAGAAGAGCTTTATTTTCAACAAGAATCAATTTTTTTTGTTTAGATCAGGAAAATCGCACTTAATGAGTCCAAATATGTCATTAGCATCAATGCCCGCAACGTCGTCGATTCGTGAGTTGATTGAATCTTTGAGCAATATTTGAGCAATAGCAATAATATTGAGTTGGTGAATTGAAAATTGCCGGACTTTGAACTAAAATTTATTCAACATAAAACCATCAATTCATTCCAACTAATTTCCATTATTATTGACGACTTCTGCCCATTTTACAGGCAATTTGCGGATTCCTCTTTCGTAATAGGATTTTGGTTTGTGTGTGAGACAAGTGTGAGACTCAAAAATGGAGGACTGGAGATGTCAGCTGTCAGCCCAGTTTGAGCACTTTCTTCAAAAGAAACCCATTTTGGTGTTAATGGAAAAGTTGTAGAGAATCAAAAATGAGGCTTATAGCCAAATTTCCAAAAAGATACACTTAGTAGTTTTGCTTAAAATGCAAGTTTTGTTGCCAGTTTTGTGAAAATTCGTAAATTTGGCATTTCTTGAAAACCAGTTTTTAAATCGTTCTGAAAATTTGGATATAAGCTTGATTTTCGATTCTCTACAACTTTTCCATTGACACCAAAATGGGTTTCTTTTGAAGAAAGTGCTCAAACTGTCACATATGACAATAGCCGGCAGTTTTCAATTCACCAACCCAATAGTTGAGATAATCTAATAGCTTTAAAAAAAGCAGTTGGTGTAATAACATAAAGTCAAGAAATTCAACCAAGAAACAACTTAATTTAGACAAATAACTTTGATCTTTCAGAAGGCTTTCGGGGTGGTGGCTTTGCCGGAATGAACAACTTTTTTGGACAACAAAGAGATCTGCATGGTTAGTTTTTAAGTTATAATCAAAATTTACTGTTCATGGTAGTAAGATTGATATAGTTTTTTCAAAGAATAAGCTTAATTCCTAGTTTTTCTTTGAGGTGGTAAGAAATATATTTATACTTTGATCTTTATAATTTCTTGTGAGACCGTCTCTCGGTGTGGTTTAATGGTAGATGTCTTGAAAACGCACAATAGAGAAAAGGAACCTAGCGTGTAGAGAAAAGGAACCAAATCTGTAGAGAAAAGGAACCAAACGTGTAGAGAAAAGGAACCAAATCTTTATCAAAACTTTCCCTTATTAGGGCAAACTTCGCTCAAACTGGAGCAACCTGGCACTATCACAATTACTTCAACAATTGCGTGTGAAAAAAAGGGATGAATAGAAAAACGAGCACACAACTGACTCAAGACAAAGCTTAAATAATGGGTTTTTAAGTACACAAGCTACGACAAACGGACGACTGAATATCGTCTAGTCGCTGATTACGGTAGTTTATCCATCAACTTTGTATTTTAACTTGTGTATTGAATTTTGACTAACTGCAGAGCAGTGGCAATTCGCCACAGAGGTATTACAAGTTAAAGAGCTATTAAAGAGCTATTGGGTTGATGCATAATTATCCGGACTTCTTTTATAAATGATTTTATTTAACAAAAAATAACATAAATAGTTAGAAAAATATGTTTAATTGATTATTCTGGAGCATATTCACCGCCTACATCAATAACTGATTGCCATTTGCTTGGAAGACGATCGATTCCACGAGCGAAGAATAAACGATCTTTGGAGGCAATCCACGCTTTAACATCGTCTATCAAGTCATCCAAATCGTTGTAGATCTTATTTGTTTGCCAATTTTTGAGCGATCGATTGACGTGGTAGTCCGTTGGGGCTTCTCCAGTTCTTTGAGATCGCGAAACGACTCTGCGGCAGACCATCCCTTTTCGAAGTGGTAGAGCATGATATGGCGAAGATGGATATGATTGTCGACACGCATTTTGTTCACTAAAGAATAACGAATATTTAAAAAAAAGAAATAGACAAAAAGCTTTCAAAACAAAAAAGATACAAGCACGCAAAAAGAAGTCCGGATAATTATGCATCAACCCAATATTAAAGAGTCAAAGATTTACGATAGAAGTTTGAAAGATTGAACTAATTGCAAAGAAATGACTTCGTTGCATCTTAAACTATTAAAAAGGTCTATTTTTTTTTCTAATTCTCTACAAAATGACTTTTGAAAGAAAGCTTTGAGCTTTCTTTCAAGCTCAAAGCTTTCTAAGAAAACTTGGTAAGCATTTTTAAGTCAAATTTTCAATTGCTCTTTTAAAGAAAATCGCTGAACGGATCGTTTTCAAATTTTACAGACTTATGTAATCAAATAAGCTCTATCTTTTTTACTTTAGCATCAAAATAGGTTCGTATTGAAGAAAGTGTCCAAATTGCGATTTTGGCTCGGCTACGACAAATTGCGACTTTTGGGTGCTTGCGTTTGCGCCTTTGAATATCCACAAAAACAAAAACTTTCATGTACTTCTCAAAAGCCATTTTGCAGAGAAACAATGTAACTTTTTAATATTTCAAATAGAAATTTTGTTGATAGCGGCATTGCTTTTAAAAGACGTTTGGAAAAAATTTTAAAGACTTGCACTAACCTAATACTACTACTAAATCCAATCCACATTTTACTCTCAAGACGATTTTTATTTCAGGTGACACACCAATGTCGATCTCAGCATCTTCCCAAATCTCACCCCGTCATACATCGCTCACTCATTCCACAAAAGGATTTTCTTCACCTCTTCAGGTTTCGTCAAAACAAACAATCACCTGACATTAAATAGGGAAATGGAATCTTTTTTTATTGAGTTTCAGAGTACTTTTTGTACTTTCAGAGTACATTTTGTACTTTCAGAGTACTTTTTGTACTTTTTGAAATGCAATGGGAATTGAAATGCAAATAGAGTATCTTTTGGCTTGGTTTTGGTTTGGGGAAACTCTTTTTAAATAGTTGAAATAGCATAGTTGAGCTATTTCAACTATTTTACAACTATTTCAACTATTAGTTGAGCTAAAAGAACTTACATTCGTGTTGGCTTTAAGGTAAAACTTTAAGACTCATTCAAAACTTAACTGTGAAAGAATCGTTTAGAGAATCGTTTTCAAAATGACAAAGTTCAATTTAGGGACCATTTCTGCCGAACTCGAAAGGAGGTCCACCACTGCGGATTTTTCCCGATGGAGCCATTCATGCAGTGAACACGAATTTGGAGAGGAATCGCATGCCCGAACCACCGACGGCTGAATGTGCGTTTGGGAAGAGAAATCCGCAAATCAAAACACTCATTTACTCAAATTCGATTCGAAACAAATAAAATAAAACCTATTTAGTCAATCAAAATTGGTGTGCGATCACGTATCACGAGGAAACGGAGCCTGTTGGAGAGACGAGACAGGTAAAGGACTGTTTACAGCTTGTTCAGCGACTTCTTCTTGTTAGATTAGTTCCCAAGTTCAACCTTAATCTTGAGACGTGTGCATTTATCGTTTAAGAAGCCTAAGTTTTGCCTAGACTAGGCCAGGCTTAGTAATCCAATCGTTTGGGCCACTTGGAACATCCTGATAGAAATCTACAGAGTCTTCAGTATTTACAGCGACTTCTTCTTGTTAGATTAGTTCCCAAGATCAACCTTAATCTGCTAAGTGTTATATAAAATATTGAAGCCCTTAATCTTGGCTATATTTATCTACTAAAGGTCTCCCGATTGGAGATCTACAACTTATTTTACAAGCTCTTGAATGAGTACTGGTTGATCGTCATTTACTAGTGCCATTTTTGGCGATTCTTATATGCTATTATAGCTCCCAAGATCAACCTTAATCTGCTAAGTGTTATATAAAACCTTGAAGCCCTTAATCTTGGCTACATTTTTGTATTAAAAGTTTCCCGATTGGAGATATATAACTCATTTTACAAGCCCTTGAATGAGTTGATCTGGTTGGCTGCCATTTTTGGCCATTTTCTTCAATCAGAAGGAGTTTCTTTTGGCCAAATTTGTGGTGTTTTGTCTAAAAAGTATTTCTAACAAAGCAACAGTTAATATAAAAAGAAGCATATATAAACTAAACATCAAAAAATACCCAATTTTCACTTCTTTCCAATGGAACTTGACTTCAAATCAAATTTGAGTAAGACAGTCCGGTCAAAAACAGTTCTTAGTGTTATTAAATGATGTTAAATAATATTTTAACATAAAATAAATATCGAAAACCTTTTTCTAACAATTTATTATAATGAAAATCGCCAAAAATGGTAGTGTGGGACCAACTTGTGCTCATTTAAAGGCTTGTAAAATGAGTTATATATCTCCAATCGGGAAACCTTTAATATATAAATGTAGCCAAGATTAAGAGCTTTATTTTTCTATATAATACTCGGCACTTTGCTAAGGAGTCAAGTGTTTGCCAGAGGGAACAACTCATTTGGAGAGGGATCAACTCATTCAAGAGCTTGTAAAATCAGTTGTACATCTTCAATCGGGAAACCTTTAATATATAAATGTAGCCAAGGTTAAGAGCTTTAATATTTTAAATAATACTTAGCAGATTAGGGTTGAAATTGGGAGCTATAATGAGAATCTGAAAATGAAAAACCAAAAATGGCAATAGTAAATGGCGATCAACTAGTACTGATTCAAGAGCTTGTAAAATAAGTTGTAGATCTCCAATCGGGAGACTTAGTAGATAAATGTAGCCAAGATTAAGGGCTTCAAGATTTTATATAACACTTAGGGTGAGCTTGGGAACTAATCTATCAAAAAGGAGTCAGTGCAAAGACTGAAGACTCTTTTGATTTGTATCAAGATGTTCCAAGTGGCTAGTTGGATTACTAAGCCTGGTCTCAGTTGGATTACTAAGCCTGGTCTCAGTTGGACTACTAAGCCTGGCCTCAGTTGGATTGCTAAGCCTGGCCTCAGTTGGACTACTAAGCCTGGCCTCAGTTGGATTGCTAAGCCTGGCCTCAGTTGGATTACTAAGCCTGGCCCAAAGTTGGATTACTAAGCCTGGCCTCAGTTGGATTACTCAGCCTGGCCTAGTTTAGACAAAAATTAGACTTTTTAAACGATAAATGCAACGATAAATGCAAGTTTAGGTTACTACAAACACGATCTACATTGATGGTTTCTTTGATTGTCAAGATTCAACAAAATTCTCGCTTGGTCGTCTGACGAACATTCACCGAAAAGAAGCGTCAATTAAATGCAGGTAAACGAGCTTGAATCAAAGCTTTCTAGAATATCCAATTTTAGGCAATTCATCGGTGAAGGCATTCGAATGTCAGTAAAAGAAAACGGAGATGTTTGGATGGAATGTTTGGGGAAACAACCCGTTTTTGTCACCTCTTTCTATTTGGATCGTGAGAGTGGAAGGAGTGGTGGAGATGCTGTGCACAAAATCTATCCTGGAGCAATTCTCAAGGTAAAGCAGTAAGCAATAGTGCGCATTTTTCAATACGGTAACCAATAGTCAGACTTATTGCTGGTTTAACTAACTAGAACTTTGCACAGGTTGGCTTGTGAGTAAATTGAAAATTTCACAATTCAATTTCACATTACAATCAACATTTTCAGGTGTTCGACCTCCGTCAATGCCATCATCAGCTGAAAAATCAGGCTTCATATCAACTATTGAAACGCCAGCAGAAAGAACAAATGCAACAAATGCCTGGAACAAGCACTGAGATGACAAGTGATGATGAAGTGAGTCATGATTGCAAAAATTTATTGGGTTGATGAATTGAAAACTATTGTCCTATGTGACAGTTTGAGCACTTTCTTCTTGGTTGAATTTCTTGACTTTATGTTATTACATCAACTGCTTTTAGATTATTAGATAATTATTAATATTAGATTATCTCAACTATTAGGTTCGTGAATTGAAAACTGTCGGCTATTGTCATATGTGAAAGTTTGAGCACTTTCTTCAAAAGAAACCCATTTTGGTGTCAATGGAAATGTTGTAGAGAATCAAAAATCAAGCTTATATCCAAATTTTCAGAACGATTCAAAAACTGGTTTTCAAGAAATGCCAAATTTACGAATTTTCACAAAACTTTCATTTTAAGCGAAACTATTAAGTGTATCTTTTTGGAAATTTGGCTATAAGCCTAATTTTTGATTCTCTACAACTTTTCTATTAACACCAAAATGGGTTTCTTTTGAAGAAAGTGCTCAAACTGGGCTGACAGCTGACATCTCCAGTCCTCCATTTTTGAGTCTCACACTTGTCTCACACACAAACCAAAATCGGATTGTCTCTTGTCATAGCCGACCATAAGACGACCCTTAATGCAACCAAATACAGTGAACAGTTGGAAAAGATGAATGGATCCCTAAAGAAGAATAGGCCCTTCAAGTCAAAGATCGTTCTCCTCCACGACGACGCGCGCCCTCATGTTGCTCAAAACTGACTCGCTCTAAAATAAACCTTTGGCACATCCCCCATACAGTCCGGACCTTGCCCCTTCTGATTACTATTTATTCCGGACCATGAGTAATGAGCTTTCGGGAGAACACTTCGATTCGGAAGAAGCAGTCAAAAATTGGAAGCATTCTCGGAAGCAGTCTCGCAATTGGAAGCAGTCTCGCAAAAATTGGAAGCAGTTTCGGAAGAAGCAGTCTCGAAAAGTTTTTCGATTGAAAACCAAAATCCTACTACGAAAGAGGAATCCGCAAATTGCCTGTAAAATGGGCAGAAGTCGTCAATAATAATGGAAATTATTTGGAATGAATTGATGGTTTTATGTTGAATAAATTTTAGTTCAAAGTCCGGCAGTTTTCAATTCACCAACCCAATAGCTATTTAATTGCAGTTTTAGCTATTCAATTACTGTTTTACCGATTCAATTACAGTTTAACAACATTGGTGTTGACGATTTTCGTCATCCATGTCTCGTTCGTGTTTCTTTCATCAAAGGATGGGGACCGGATTATCCACGAAAGACGATCACCGAGACACCTTGCTGGATCGAGGTTTCGCTCAATAGGTAAACAAGCTTTACTGTATTGTTTGTATACTTCAAAATCCGAGTAGATATGATTAAAAACACTTCTTAAAGCAACAAGGTCAGATCAAAATCTAGAGTCTGAAACGAACCAGGTCTAAATCTGGGCTCTGACCTTGCCCCGGATCCACAATTTGCTAGATCTAGCGAAAAATCACTAGTCGTTAGATTTTCGTCGCTAGTCGGGTCCTCGATCGACTTCGTGGCTGCCCCAACTTGCTAGTCGGGTCCACAATCAAAATCTAGCGATTTTTGCTAGTCGACGAAAGGCAAGACTAACGAATTTTTCAGATGGGGACCACATGGATCGAAAAATCGATCCTCCCCGATTTTCCTAAAACTTTGCCAGGGTATGTAACCGACTACGCCCGTAACAGTCATCATTTTACGAAATTCGGACATCTGATACACTTTTTGAGGGAAATTTTTGAAGATAACCTGATTTTCGAATTCTCCAGAGTCTAATCTATCATTTTTTAGCATCTTAGCATTTTTTTTATTGAAGTTGATTATACTTTTGAGCGCTTTTCCCGAGACACCCCAAAATCGCTAGATACTAGCCGCTAGATGTAAATCACTAGATTGCTAGCCACTAGCCGCTTGACGCTAGTCGAGATTGTGAACCCGGGTCCTGGCCTGGTTTGGCTTACGCCATTGATGTTCCAACCGGGACCTAAGTCTTGCAAGCAACCAGGCAAGCAACCAGATCCAGGCTAAACTATTAGCGGGTCCAGAGACTTGTCCAGTCACCAGAGTTAAGTAGGACAAGTACATAAACCAGGCAGGCTTGGCTCGGAAACTGATTTTCGGAAAAACCCTGTTAGATTTACCCTTCTTCGTTACCGGACAAGAATACTTAGAAGCATAGAAAATATTGTAACTTTAATACCTATTTAGAGTTGAGTAGGCTCAATGCAAGACTCATAGCTGTTAGATTTAAATTTACATAAATGTAAGCCTCATAGCTAGCCTGGAAATCTCCAAGCAATCATTTTCCAGAGCTCTCGAACTCCTCGATCAGATCATGCACGAGCCGGGGATGGTCGTCGATTCAAGAGATGATTAAAGTCGGGAATTTTATGTACATTCATACATTTGTACATTTGAAATTTGTCGTATCTGATGGTAAAGATCGAATTTCTCAATTTCGTCCTTTTCAATTTAGTTGATTCGTTAGAAATTTTATCTTTAAAATCTTTAAAATCTTTAAAACATTCAGTTGAATTTTTTGCTTTTTAAAATACTTTTTTTTCCTACTTACAATAACCGGTGTTTTTAGTGGAAAAAGTCGAAAAAAGAAACGGGAAATTGCAAAACTATATTTCTATTATTTCTATTAATATTTCTAGAAAGAATTTTACCCTTAAAACCTCGAAAATTATGCCATATTCTTAAGCGTCATTTATGAAAGAAATCTTTCTTTGTACATCTCTTACAATTCTCTTTCTTTCTCTTTTTGTAAAGCTTGCTGTAAGGCTTTGTAAAGCTTGATAAATCGTTGTTGGAAAGATTCTTTTTGATAGAATAAAAACAGGTTTTTTGAGAAGAAAAGGTGATAAGAATGAGATAAAAACAAGGAATCGCCGCCATTCGAATCGAAAATCTTGCGTTTGGACTGAAAAAGCGCCGGAAAACAGCTGGATTTCTCAAGGAAACAGAAAAATCCGATCTTTTAGATTGATTCTTGATTGTTTTTGATTTATTTTTGATTTTTTTGAGCCTAATTCTGAATGAATTTGGTTTGAACATTGATTAAAATACGATTCTGACTATTTTTTTTGTTGATTGGATCGAATTGTCGAGCTTTCGGAACGTTAGTCAATCTTGCTATCCAATCGGCTATCACAAATATTGGGTTGGTGAATTGAAAACTGCCGGCTATTGTCAGATCTGACAGTTTGAGCACTTTCTTCAAAAGAAACCCATTTTGGTGTTAATGGAAAAGTTGTAGAGAATCAAAAATCAAGCTTATATCCTAATTTTCAGAACGATTCAAAAACTCGTTTTCAAGAAATGTCAAATTTACACAAAAGAAATGCTAAATTTTCACAAAACTTTCATTTTAAGCGAAACTACTAAGTGTATCTTTTTGCAAATTTGGCTATAAGCCTAATTTTTGATTCTCTACAACTTTTCTATTGACACCAAAATGGGTTTCTTTTGAAGAAAGTGCTCAAACTGGGCTGACAGCTGACATCTCCAGTCCTCCATTTTTGAGTCTCACATTTGTCTCACACACAAACCAAAATCGTATTGTCTATTGTCATAGCCGACCATAAGACGACCCTTAATGCAACCAAATACAGTGAACAGTTGGAAAAGATGAATGAATCCCTAAAGAAGAATAGGCCCTTCAAGTCAAAGATCGTTCTCCTCCACGACAACGCGCGCCCTCATGTTGCAAAACTGACTGGCTCTAAAATAAACAGCCTTGTTTGGGAACTTTTGACGCATTCCCCATACATTCCGGACCTTGCCCCTTCTGATTACTATTGATTCCGGAGCATGCGGGAGCACACTTCGATTCGGAAGAAGCAGTCAAAAAATTGGCTCGAAAAGTTTGTCGATTCAAAACGAAAATCCTACTACGAAAGAGGAATCCGCAAATTGCCTGTAAAATGGGCAGAAGTCGTCAATAATAATGGAAATTAGTTGGAATGAATTGATGGTTTTATGTTGAATAAATTTTAAGTTCAAAGTCCCGCAGTTTTCAATTCATCAACCCAATAGGAACGTTTTTGAATGTTAATCTAAGGATTTCTTTATCGTTTTGATCACTCTAGCGTACCCTTGGCAATTAAAATGAGTTAAAGTACAAAGCAAAGAATAATCAGCCTAGCAATTGACTCTAGCAATTGACTAGTTAGATTTGTTATTTTTAACCGGATTTGCTTGAGTTTAACTACGTTGAACAAAACGGTTGACTCTATTCAAAATGTTAATAACCACTTTCCCCAGTTACGTCATTAAATTTCCTCTCTTATCTCATCTCCCTTTTTTCTTTGATTTCTTTCCCCTCTTTGCAAAATACTTCCAGACTGTCTGAGGTCTGAACCAGAGATTAATTTTGAAATGGTTTCTTCAGTGATTCGCAAGGAATGATCAACAGATCCAGCACAGCAAATGAAATAAACCATAGAACATCTGATGCAGAAATTTCCGCTGTTTCTGAATCTGCTTTCCGTTTTTCCAACGCAGTGCTCTGTGGAAAGTTATCAGCGCTCAAAGTTTTGTATGGAATCGCAGAAAACAGACCTGTTTTTTGTCGATGCTGGATGGTCATCCTTGGCTGTATGTATAGCCAAAGTATGCCAGATGCTGTGCGATTGTGCGCACAGCACAATTCTAATCATAGAGAACATCTAATCATTCAAAGCTAAAAGAAGCAAAAACAAAAGCCGGGCTCGAACCCTAGGGTCCTTGCTTCGTATTCAAGTCAACTGCCACTCGGCCACATTTTTTGCTCTCTCGTAAGTCAACTTATAAACTCTGGATGTTTTCTGCGATTCCATACAAAACTTTGAGCGCTTATAACTTTTGACAGAGTACTGCCTTGGAAAAGCGGAAAGCAGATTCAGAATCAGCGAAAAATTCTGCATCAGATGTTCTATGGCTTATTTTATTTGATGAGCTGGGTTTGTTGTTCATTCCTTGTGAGTCGGATAGTATATGGTTCATGTCATTTGGCCATCACCCCTTGTTGACATTCCCTTATAGCTAGCAAAAACAATCAAAAATAGCAACCTTTCCTTGCTTTCAAATGGTGGACCAGAAAATGCGTGAAATTTTTGTGCAACGCTCATTCGAAACTTGTGCTAAAGATATTTTCCATAGATTCAAAAGCTATATTAATGAAATTCAATTAAAAAAGATTCTTAGCTGTAAAAAAATGTCATAATAGAAGTGACTAACTTTGCAATCAAACAAAATAAAAGCATTTCTTTCTCAGGCTTCTTTTGATCGTCAACCCTTTTCAGTAAAAGTCAGAAAAACTTTTACAAAAGTTCTTTTTGGAAAATTTTTGAATGCTACTTTGGAGAGGCAAGGATTTTTCTACAAAGTAAGCCATAAACCAAAGAAATAACTTAAAAGAAAAAATTTTCAAGCGATTTCACGCTGGGAAATCGGAATTGAAACTTGAAAAAATGACAGAGCAAAGCCTTTTTTTAAAAACCGTTAAAAGAATCGTATCGAAAAGTTGTTCAAAGTTAATTTCGGTTTAGAAAAATAAATTTCCTAGGGTAAAAAATGTGTGAATTTTCCGAATTTCAAGTTAATTTGAAGAATTAACGTTAATTTAAATTATTAATAGGTTGATGCATAAGTCTTTTCGTTTTTTTCGTACTTCTGTTAAAAAGTAACAAATTCACCAATTAATCTATAGTTTACTCTATAAAAAAAAGTGTTTTTTTGTTCAATTTGCACCTTTTTAAATGAATTTCGGTTCACTTTCAAGCAAATTCGAGAGTGACAAAACGCCTTTTTCGTTATCGTTAAAAAACGTTATCATCACATTCCGATAATTAAAAGGAGTGAACTCTAGTCGTAAAATTCCAGATTTCTGAGTCATCTTGTGTTCAAAAGCCCTCTAAAACAAAATCCTAGCAGTTACTAGAGCTAATGTGGTATTCAAATCATTCGATACTTTCAGCTACTTATTTGTTTCTATGAATTCTATTGGAAAACTTGTTCGGAACTTTTATTGGAAAGTATGACCAGTTGGAAAGTAGTTGGAAAGTTGGAAAGTTGGAAAGTAGTTGGAAAGTAGTTGGAAAGTAGTTGGAAAGTAGTTGGAAAGTTGGAAAGTTGGAAAGTAGTTGGAAAGTAGTTGGAAAGTAGTTGGAAAGTAGTTGGAAAGTTGGAAAGTTGGAAAGTAGTTGGAAAGTAGTTGATGCTCAATTGTCCTACTGTAAAAGTAACTCAAATACGGAAAATTTGGTGGCTGGAGTTATGGGAGTGGTGACGAGATTCACATCATTTTTATCGATTTTCTTATATATTAGGTTGATGCATAAGTCTTTTCGTTTTTTTCGTACTTCTGTTAAAAAGTAACAAATTCAGCAATTAATCTATAGTTTGCTCTATAAAAAAAGTGTTTTTTTGTTCAATTTCCATCTTTTTAAATGAATTTCGGTTCACTTTCAAGCAAATTCGAGAGTGAAAAACGCCTTTTTCGTAAAAATCTATAAAAAACTCTACGGAAAAATTGGCTGAATGAATTTCTCAGAAATTTTGGCGAAATATCAAACGTTTTTTTTCTCTATCTTTTATCTATTGACACGAAGATAGGTTTTCTTTAGCTAAGGTGTCTAAACCGCATCATCGAGTTAGCCCTTTTTGACTACCCGACTTCATACTCTCAAGAAAATCCAGGCATTAAATATTTTTAAACCCGTTTTAATGTTATTTTGCAGAAAAATAATTCGCTTTTTCTAATGAAATCAACCGTAGTTTAATTGGTGCATTTGTTGGCTTGAAACGGCAGACGAAAAGGAACAAAAACACTTATGCATCAACCTAATAATTTCACTTTTAATCTATTAGTTTTTTAGTCTATTAGTCTATTAACTTTTTGTCTATTAAAACTTGCCTAAAAATGATCACTACTTTCTGCGCTCACTTTTTTCTGAGTCAATTTAAACCCTCAATTTCCTTTAATTACCCAAGCTTACCTTGAATTCATTCCTACACAAAAATTGGTTTATAAAAATTTCCCCTAATGAAAAAATTCACTCTATCGAATTCGAATTACCTGATGAGAGCGGTGAACGGATTGTTGGCGTAGAATTTTTCCATGTCACCCCATCGCTCGTGAGTTTCATTGGTGATCCAGGGATGACCGTGATCCTAAAGTTATTTTATATTGTAATTTGTTAAAATTGTCAACAAATGAACGCCCAGTTAGGACTAAAGTTTGGATAAAAGTTTATCATTCCTATTTTTCATTCTTTGTTGGCTTGAAACGGCAGACGAAAAGGAACAAAAAGACTTATGCATCAACCTAATAGGTTGGCAAGTTATAAACGATCGTTTTTTGGGTAATGTGTCTTCTGAAATAAACGGCTTATCCAATCAAAAAACGGTTTGCTTGATTTGATTCAAATTCAATTCAAATTCGGTTTGATTCAAAAGCCTTATAATCTACAAAATGGCTTTTTTGAATTTTTGAAAAATGTTTTATTTTAGAACTTTTTCAGGCACTTTAATGTAAGAGTTCAAAATTCAAAAGGTTTCTAGCATTCATGATGGATTCTGTGGATTAATGAAATTGAACGAACTCTTATTTCATTTTTGTGCTAGCGTGGGTGGTTTCTTGTGGAAAACCTCTTGCCCCTAATAACTTGCCAACCTAATAAAGTTTATAACTTGTCAACCTAATAATTTAAAGTTAATTAACATCCTTGGCTGCTCCTTGGCTGTCAAAAACGTCCTTGGCGCGTAAAAAAGTGACTGCTTTACGAAATTCCAAGTATTTTCTGGTCACCCAGTTGGTGGATTCTGTGGATTAATGAAATTGAATTAACTCTTATTTCATTTTTATGCTAGCGTGGGTGGTTTCTTGTGGAAAACATCTAAAAACTATCTACAGACTTTTTGTGAGCAGTTAAAAGCGTACGATCGGATCAAAAGAAGAAATCCCAATCCTCCCAAGAATGAGCACTCCAAAAGGACACTAAAATGACCGTACTCTGCATCGATCACTTCTTTTCTCGCAAAAATAGCTGTCTACCCCTTGCTTCTTTTCATTTTTCTCATTCTTTGCAATCCTTTTCCTTTTTTCTGAGTTGGCCAAAGGGAATTTGAAACTAGCGCAATCAATTCCAAAGAGAAGAAACGCATCTTTTCAAAAGATTTCACAAAAGGTCATCTTTTCAAAGATTTTCAGAGTTTCCTGGTTTTGCTGAGCTCTTATTTTTAGAGTTTTTATAAAGTTTTCGTATTTTAAATTGATAATTTGAATATAGATAATTTGAATTTACTTTTCATTTCAGTAAAATCGTTTAATAAGTTCTTTAAACAGTTCTTTAGTTCTTTAAAAGTTCTTTAAAGTTAGCAGTGTTCTTTAAACAGTTCTTTAAAGTTAGCAGAGTTCTTTAAAAACCCTTTTTCTCTTTCTTAAATTCTCAATTCTTAAAGTCTTAAAGTTCAAAAAATCTTTTAGAATAGAAAAATTGTTGGATATGCTTTAGATACGCAAGTGAAACGTACGGATACGATACGATACGATAGATTTCATTCAGATACGCATACGCAAGTGAAATTCACGAATCAGATTTACTTTTAAATTATGAAAAGTTCAAAACTCTAGTGATTTTGATTAATCCAATTTGGTAAAAAAGAAAATTTAGCCCAAATTTGTTTTACAGTTTTTGAACCGTATTCGAACCGTCTTAGATCAAAATAGGAGCCATATTGGAACCGTATTGAATCCAAATAATTCTGTAATATTTACCCCAAATGTTTATTTATTTTGCAAGCAAGCGTGAATGCATTCTTTTTCCCTTTCCACATATTTCCTCATACCCATGCCTTTGCCCTTTGCTCTTTGCCCATACCTTTGCCCTTGCCCCGTATCTTTGCTCATACCTTTGCCCATATCTTTGCCATTCCCCCTTGCCCCCCCGCCTTGCTCAACCTTGCCCATGCCTGCCCTTTGCCCATGCCTTTCCCCATACATTTCCCCATACCTTTGCCCATACCTTTGACCTTTCCCCATACCTTTGCCCCGCCCTTCCCCCATACCTTTGCCATTCCCCCATACCTTTGCCCTTTCCCCGTACCTTTGCTCATACCTTTGCCCTTCTCCCATACCTTTGCCCATACCTTTGCCCATACCTTTGACCTTTGCCCATACCTTTGCCCATACCTTTGACCTTTCCCCGTACCTTTGCTCATACCTTTGCCCTTCCCCCATATCTTTCCCCATATCTTTCCCCCTTTTCCCCCGCACGCCTTATCTTTTCCAAACTGAACCCACTCAAAATTCCAACTTATCGAGACCTTTGCAAGTTTTGATTTCAGAATTTCGAACTCAAAACCTTTGTTGACTCAAAACTTTTGTCAAAACTCAAAACTTTCAACCCATTTTGTTGTTTCTGTTTCGTTTCACCACATTCTGTTAGAAGATTTTTGAAATCAATATGAAAATCCCAAAAAATCCAACAAATAAGCTGACAAAAACGCGGCGATGATGGAAGTGCTCGAAAAAGAAATGAGAGAAAATTTTTTCATCGATAACTTCTCCGCATAAGCTATAGGCTTTTTTTTTTTTGATTGATTTCTGTATAAGTGTTTTATTAACTTTTCTAATAATAGATCTTTTATGGAATTTTCTAATTTGATTTGATTTATCATTTGACAAAGTTGAGGCCAATTTAGCAAAGTTTACACAAATGAAAACCATTTCAAACGCCTTTTCGTCCTGTAAATAAGACAATACCAAAATCAAAACTGTTCAAAAGTTTGTTGAATTGTAAAAATAAAGGAGAGATCCGAATTGGGATCGATTCTCAATAAAGCCAAATTTTAGGCAGGTTTTGATGAAGTTTAAAGCAATTAAACTGATTCTAATTAGTAGACTCAATAAAATGAATAGCTCCAATCGATTGCCCGACCCCGAAAACCCTCGGGTACGAATTTATAGCTCAATATCTTCTTTTAGAGCCAAAGAAAAATCCCTATGCAAATGTTGGCGAGGTGTTCTTTGAGCGGGCGTGTAATCCCTCGCGATCTGGCGAACGCTGGTAGATGGTGCTTCTCTTTTGGAATCGGTCGGCGAATGAGCCCCACTTTCTGCGGCACTCTTTGCCCCACTCTCTGCCGCACTTTCTGCCGCACTTTCCGCCGCACTTTCTACCGTACTTTCTACCCCACTTTCTGCCCCACTTTCTGCCCTACTTCCTGCTCCACTTTCTGCCCTACTTCCTGCTCCACTTTCTGCCCCACTTCTTGCCCCACTTTCTGCCCCACTTTCTGCCCTACTTCCTGCCACACTTTCTGCCCTACTTCCTGCTCCACTTTCTGCTCCACTTCTTGCCCCACTTTCTGCCCCACTTTCTGCCCTACTTCTTGCCACACTTTCTGCCCTACTTCTTGCCACACTTTCTGCCCTACTTCCTGCTCCACTTTCTGCCCCACTTTCTACCCCACTTTCTGCCCCACTTCCTCGTTTTGGCCGTCACTATACCCAAGTTTTTGGAATCATTTTTTGCCTACTTGGATTTCTCCATACTTTTGATACAAATTCTACATCTGGCAAACCATTGTGTCACAGGTTTTTTTAGAATTTTATGCAGTAAACATTTTTCTTATAAATTTCCAATCAATCTATGCCTTTTCTATACTCTAAACACCACTTATCCCTTTTTTGTTTTCAGCTCCATTGAACATTTCTCTTCTTTTCTTTTCCTTGCACCCCCAACTGGTCAGTGATCTTTTTTTTCTGCAATTTTCTCTGCCACTTTTCTTTTTCCTAGCTTTGCGTGGCGTGATCTAAGAGTTCTTTTTGAGAAAAAATACTTTTTGAACAGTTGAGTTCATTTGAGACTCACCCCACTCGTTTGTCTCATTTTGAGGTGTCAAATTTCCTAATAGCTTTCAAAAAAACCTTACTTTCGTACTAGTTTATAATTTGATTAATTGAAGAGTTGTATCAATGATTTCCCGAGCTCATTTTTAGTGAAAAAGGAACTTTTTATTGAGATTTTCATCCCATTCTTTTACCAATTTTCTTTTGAATTTTGAAATTCAAAAAATCATACTGCTTATTTTTTACAAGAAAACCTTTTCAGATGGTTTCTTTCAATGAAGAATCCACCTCGTTTTACAAACCGAATCTCACCGGGGACACTGCCGAGGAGAAACTCCGAAAATTCATCAACGATCGGCAGAAATTGAAAATTTGTGAGCATTCGAGAACCTTGTAAAGATTTGTGTTACATGAACGACTCTCAAAATTAGTTTTACAAGTTAAAAAAACATCTTTAGCATCCTACGATGAACTTCACGAGCACTCTTGCGAGCATTACGCCAAATTTTGGCGAGATTTCCTCGAGTTCTCCGAGATTATCTATGAAGGAGATGCAAATCAGGTGAATTTAAACATCCATACAGTCTACTTTTTATAAAAGAGCTTTGTCTGCCTGTCCGTCTTCCTGTCCGTCTGTCTGTCTGTCCGTCTGTCTGTTTGGGTTTTTCGGCTGGTATTTAATATTGATTTAGAATAGGGATCAGTTTAAATATGTACCAGATTCAAATCAAGGTAAGAAAGGAACGAATCTAGTCCAAATCGAGGCAGATTTATTCCAAAAGGAATTATTCCGCGCCAAGTCAACGTTGAAATCAGGTTCTAGCTTTCTTGAGCTTGCCTGATCTGGCTTTACTTCAAATCCTGGTCGCAAAAGGTTACTGGACCCACCAGAAGCTGGTGGGACCAGTTTCCTTGGACACTGAACCAGCTTCCTTGGACACTGGGTCAGCTTCCTTGGACACTAAACCAGTTTCCTTGGCCACTGAACCAGCCTCCTTGGACACCAAACCAGCTTCTTTGGACACTGAACCAGCTTCCTTGAACACTGGACCAGCCTCCTTGGACACTGAACCAGCTTTCTTGGACACTGGACCAGCTTCCTTAAACACTGGACCTGTTTTCTTGGACACTAAACCAGCTTCCTTGGACACTGAACCAGGTTCCTTGGACACTAAACCAGCTTCCTTGGACGCTGGACCAGCTTCCTTGGACACTGGACCAGCTTCCTTGGACACTGGACCAGCTTCCTTGGACACTGGACCAGCTTCCTTGGACACTGGACCAGCTTCCTTGGACACTAAACCGGCTTCCTTGGAACATTCTGCCTCCATTTTGTACCTATCCCTATGAAAATTTATTATAAATTCATCTGACACTAGATTTGTTAAATAAACAAACTTCTACCAAATAAGCAAAAAGATATTAAAACCACCTAATCATCAAATTTTCCAGGCAGTTGACGAGTCAGCGAACATTTCCGAGATTCCAAAATGGTTCCCCGGTGTCAAGCTGAACTACGCGGAGAATCTTTTGAAAGAAATTGGAGACAATACAAAAATCGCGATCACCGCATATGGTTCGTTGCAAAAATAAGAACTTGTTTTTGTTTTGAATTTTGCAAGATTGCTTTTCAGATGAAAATTTGATGACAACAGATAAGACAAGGAAAGAATTGAGAGAAGATGTGGGCAGATTGGCGAATGCGTTGAGACAGAGTGGAGTCACGAAAGTGGGGTTTGGAAAAAGGAAGGAAAAAGAGAAAATGGAAACAATTACGGTCGACTCTCTCTTAACAGAACTCTCTATAGCGGAAAACTCTATATAACGGAATGGAATTTTGGTCCCGGTCGACGCTAAGCTATATATAACGGCACTTTATATAACGGAAATATTTTTTGGTCCCTTCCATTCCGTTATAGAGGAAGTCGACTGTAAATCATGTTTACTTGAAGATTTTTCCGTTCTCTGTTCAAAAAGTTACTTTTTTGGGTCAAAGGGTTGATCTAGGCCGGAAAAGTGAAAGCTCTGCTAAGTTCATTGTCAGAATCAGTGGCCTTTGCGTAGTTTCCGGGTATTTTGGAAGAATCCGGGTATTTTGAACGGGTCATCTCGCTTTGAAGGCCTATAACTTTGTCCAGAGATAATATTTTTGTTAGCTTTTTATGTGATTTTAACAAGGAAACTTCAGGCTTTCGAATGATATCAAATAGAGCTTGTTTGGATAGTCCAGTCCAGAGAAATCAAGGCCAACTTTGAGCAAATAAGCCCAATCCAACTCGGGTGCCGTGTCGCTGGGTGTGAATGGGAATGAAAAATTCAATCAAAATCTATTTGGTATCATTCGATTTTGCTCAAAATTGGCCTTGATTTCTCTGGACTAGACTCTCCAAACAAGCTCTATTTGATATCATTCAAAAGCCTGAAATTTCCTCTGTACAATGATATAAAAAGTTACTTCGGAGTATTCCAAAATTAAAAATAAAACTCAAAACATCTTAGCCGGGTGTTTTTATAATAAAACGTAGTGTTTTATGAAATAAAAACATAGGGTTATCGTAAAAATATTTTGTTCAAGACCCGGCCGCGATCCGCACGCTCCCTTTAAGCTTTCAGAAGAAGCAATCCTGACTCTTCTGGTATTAACCTTGAGTTTCTTTACCTATTGTTGAATACAGTGTTCATAATTGGCAATTTCGGATCTGTTTCCCGTGGATTGCTTTATTTTCATGAATCTTGGCTTTTGGCTCGTATCTTTGAAATTTCTGAAAACCTCTTTGAAGCTAATTTCCCGTTTTTCCTATTTACCTCAAGAAATGCCTTTGTTGCTTCTGGATCGTTTACCACGTCATCATTCAAAACACACGTCAAGATGTAACCAGTGTCAAATCTATATCATATCATAACTGCTTTCTGTACTAGTTTTTTTTCCCCACCTTTCTTTGAGAAACCGTGGACTTCCCGAGTTAACAAAAATATTATCTCTGGACAAAGTTATGAGCCTTCAAAGCGCGATGACCCGTTCAAAATACCCGGAAAATACCCAAAACTACGTAAGAGCCGAATCAGCTAATAGTCAGACTTTGATAACCCAAATACTTTTTTAAACTTTATCAATTTCAAATAGTGATAAGTACTGCTAGAATCTTTTCATCAAATTTAAAATTCTACCAAATTTCGAGCTAAACTCAATCAAACGGATGTCATTTTAAATTCGAGACTCGAAAATTGTGGAAAGCAGCAGATGCCGCAAGATTATCACAATTTCAAGTTTTCCAGGACGATGTCGTTTGTGGCTTTATGCCGAACAGTTATGAGACGATTGTGGCAGCGCTGGCGACGGCCGCTTTAGGAGCCGCCTGGTCGAGTGCCAGTCTTGACTTTGGACCCTCCGGAGTTTTAGATCGATTTAAGCAGGTTCTTCTTCTTCTTCACAACTTCTTCTTGCTATGTTTTTCTCAGTGAATTAGAATTGCTCTTCAGGTGAAACCAAAAGTGATGTTCACGGTGAACGCGACCACATACAAGCAAAAACTCTTCGATCTCCGGGAGAAAATCGACGAAATTGTTGGAGGCACGTTGAAAAGCTCAAAATTTCTCTATGAATTCAAATTCAGAATTGCCATCCGTGGAAAAAGTGATCTTGATCAACAACAAAACGATTTCTCCAATCAAAATTGTTGAGTACAAATGTCGGGATCGGCTTATTTTGTATGAAGATTTCGTCGGAAATTCGGCAGAGACTGGGCTTACTTTTGAAAGGGTATGGTTTAAAGATATGAAATTTTAATTTAAGACTAGTATAGGAATCCAAAAATAGACAGTGATCCAAATTCAGATCCCATTCGGTCATCCACTCTTTGTCATGTTCTCCTCGGGGACAACGGGTGTGCCAAAAGCAATGGTTCACACCGTTGGAGTGAGTCAATTTTTGACAAGGGAAGGTCACAAGGCTGAGATGTACAAGATCTAATGTTAAATTATGTTTCATTCAGTATTAGGTTGAGGAAAAAGTCCTGACTCAGCTGCGAAAAATTCGATTTTTATGCGCACTTTAATAGCAAAAATAACAACAATTATTCCTCAAAGTATAGCCAATTATCTAAGACTTTCTGCCATCGATCTGCAAGCTGTCGGAGCTGGTCCAAGTACCACTCATTCGGTTTTGAATCAGAACTCTTGGTAAGCTTCTTCGACTTCTTCAAATGACTCGAATCGGCTGCAATGATGCTGCAGGAAATGCTGCAATGATCGGAAGAGACCGTAGTTGGATGGGGCAACGTTCGGACTGTAGACAGGCAACGTCCGGACTGTAGACAGGCAACGTTCGGACTGTAGACAGGCAACGTTCGGCCTGTAGACAAATCTCAAGTCTCTTCAAAAGTCTCGTTCAGCTCTTCAAACTTTCCTCGCTTACCAGATTCCTCGCGTTTCCGAATCGTTTTACAAAAACCGATAGCAGCATCGGAATCAGCGTAAAATTCTGCGTCGTATGGTGTATGACTCATTTCATTTGACCACCACAGCCTTGTGACTTTCCCTTGTAAGAATCGTTTCAAAGATGGAAACATATGCTCAGAATTAACTTGCTTTGAATTACAAGTCAAGTTTACAAAGCTACAAGGCAAACAAGACTTTAGTTAGAATTTTAAGAAATCATGCGAATTCATTAGAAAATTTGTTAAAATGTTAACTGCAAAATTGTAGGGAACCTTGCTCAAACACATCGAAGAACACCAAATTCAAAATGACGCCAATGACGAGGATTCGATGTTTTTCTACACGACCTGCGGATGGATGATGTGGAATTGGTAAGTGAATTGCTAGATCTTGAAAAAGATAGAATAAATCTCTTCTTCAAGATCTCCTTTTCAAGAGCTCTTCTTCAAGATCTCTTTTTTCAGGACGATCTCATTGTTAGCACTCGGCGGGCGATTGATTCTTTATGACGAGTCTCCGCTTGAACCCGATCATTATGTGATGCCAAAAATTATTGGCCACTCAAAAGTAAACGATGTTTTGCATATAGTTTCTCATAGAATATTTCCTACCTTTAAACTTTTTGGATTAAATTATAAAATTTTCAATTTCTAGGCAACGATTATCGGAATGGGAGCTCAGCTCTATGATCGCTTTGAGAAAATCGATCCAAAGAAAAATTTATGTACGTAATTTGCTTTGTCTTAACGTTTAGAACTGTTTTAGATTCATTTCTCTATACAATTAAACCCCTATTTAGGTAAACAATTCGATCTGCAAGCTGTTCGCCTTGTCCTCTCAACGGGAAGCCCGCTAAAAGAAGCGATTTTCGAGTACATCAATGCTTGTCTAGCTCCCGGGGTTTGTTTTGAAAGAGTCAAACAATTTGTAACTTACAAGTTGAAAGAGTAAGAAAGAATATTAGGCTGTGATTGGGTCAATTTCTGGTGGAACTGATATCATTGGATGCTTCATGGGGACAACATTGTCGAAACGTGTGGTTCCCGGTCAGTGTACGGCTCCATTCCTCGGCATGGACGTCAAGGCTTTCAATCTGAAAGGTGAGCCAGTGGTTGGCAAATTATTTTGTTGACTAGAGAGATAGATAGAGGATAGAGTAGAATGGATGGAGTAAATTGGAAACATCTATCGATAGGCAAATAATAGATTTTCTGAGGAGTCGACTATAAATCATGTTTACTTGAAGATTTTTCCGTTCTCTGTTCAAAAAGTTACTTTTTTCGGTCAAAGGGTTGATCTAGGCCGGAAAAGTGAAAACTCTGCTAAGTTCATCGTCAGAATCAGTGGCCTTTGCGTAGTTTCCGGGTATTTTGGAAGAATCTGGGTATTTTGAACAGGTCATCTCGCTTTGAAGGCCTATAACTTTGTCCAGAGATAATATTTTTGTTAGCTTTTTATGCGATTTTAACAAGGAAACTTCAGGCTTTCGAATGATATCAAATAGAGCTTGTTTGGATAGTCCAGTCCAGAGAAATCAAGGCCAACTTTGAGCAAATAAGCTCAATCCAACCCGGGTGCCGTGTCGCTGAGTTTGAATGGAAATGAAAAATTCAATCAAAATCTATTTGGTATCATTCAAAAGCCTGAAATTGCCTCTGTACAATGATATAAAAAGTTAACAAAAATATTATCTCTGGGTAAAGTTATGAGCCTTCAAAGCGTGATGACCCGTTCAAAATACCCGGAAAATACCCAAAACTACGTAAGAGCCGAATCAGCTAATAGTCAGACTTTGATAACCCAAATACTTTTTTAAACTTTATCGATTTCCAATAGTGATAAGTACTGCTAGAATCTTTTCATCAAATTTAAAGTTCTACCAAATTTCGAGCTAAACTCAATCGAACGGAAGCCATTTTAAATTCGAGACTCGAAAAGCATCAACCTATGTTATTTAAAAATGATATTGACTAGTGCACATCTCGAATGATACAAAGGGTTTTCCTTACACCAAAATCATCACCCAACTTCAGGCGAATCACTCCTCGATGAACAGGGCGAACTCGTCTGTCTCAAACCATTCCCATCAATGCCTTCACATTTTTTGAATGACAAAGTAAGTAATACAATAGCAAAGTAGCAATAGTAAGAAAAATAACTACCGTAAATACTGTAAAAGTACCCCACCCCCCTCGTACAGTCCGATAGTCGCAAAAGTTTTTAGTCTTTCATTTTTCAAAGCCCCGTACTTTCAAAAAACGTCTTTGGTATCAAAAAATAGCCCTGAATTTCAGCTATTTTTTGATATTCAAACGAACACTGTAGCTTAAACCAGTGTCGAGAAAAACTCGTTCAAATCTAGACTACGTAACGCTCCGCACCGTCATTATGGGAGTGGGGTACTATTACAGTATTTACAGTAAGAAATTCAAAAGTCAATCATTTAAGGATAAAAGCAAATACTTGAAAGCCTACTTTGAGCGATTCCCTGGAGTTTGGGCTCATGGAGATTATTGTATAATCGATTCGCAAAGCGGTGGAATTACGATGTTGGGGAGGTAAGGGTTTATCAATTCTATAAGTACATTTTGAATAAAGTTGGTAATGGATAAAGCTTTTAGTATAGCTAATAATCTGTCAACCTTTTCAAGATTAAAATTTAGATCTGATGCGACTTTGAATCGCGGTGGTGTTCGAATGGGAACTGCTGAGATCTACAATGTTGTCGATACATTCGTTGAGATTGCTGATTGCATTGTGGTTGGGAGGCAAATGTGAGAATTTCTTTGCATTTTACTATTATTTGAACTGTCAAACGGCTGTCAATTCAATTAAAGTTGGTTATTAAAACTTATTAAAGCTCTAGAGTGTTTCAAAAGAATTGTTTTATGCTTTCGAACAAACGTGCGCCTTCTGGCACACCCGAGCAACTATGGTGTGCCAGAAAGAGCAGTTCAAAAGCTCAAAGCTTTCACAATACTTTAAATCCCATCAACATTCCATTTTTAGTCCAAACGAAAAAGACGAAGAGATTCTGTTGTTCGTGAAATTGTCTGATGGAGCCGCTTTGGATGATCATTTAAGGACATCAATTTGTAAAGCGATTCGTGAACGACAAAGCCCTCGACACGTGCCAAACAAAATCATTCCAATCACCGATATACCGGTAAGAAATTTGAGATAACTATTGATCAAGCAAACTTACTAGAGAACTGCCCCAACTTAGCATCGATTTAAAATATGGGATCTAGCTTAGCAGTTTTGCTTAGCGCAGAAACGCCACCATGAAATTCTAAAGGATACATGTTTATCAGTTTTTCTCCATGGCAGTTTACCTCCAGTTTTGCTTTATGCTTTAGAACTTTGACCACTTTTTGAAAAAACAGCGCCGCCGTGGTATGGAGCCGAATTACTTTTCCTTGACCAGGAGCCGGATGGTGTAGCGGATGTATGCTGTATGCATCGTACGGCTCCATTGCTGTATGCATCCGTACGGCTCCAGTATGCTCGTCCTTCGCACTGTTCATCCCTAGTTCGATCCCCCTCTCTATCAAAACCTTTTTGTTAAATCAAAACCAACTTCTAGGTATTTGTCTATAAACAGTAAGAAGCTAAAAAGGGTTCTTGGCAATATCAGCCATCAGATCAGCCATATCCAAAATCGATGCTAAGTTCTCCAACTCCCTAGTTATTGACAATGAAACTTTTAGTACACCAACTCCGGGAAAAAAGTCGAAATCGCTGTGAAACAAATTGTCAACGGTTTCCCCGTGGAAAAAGCTTCTTCTTTGAGAAATCCCGATTCTTTAGATCTTTATGCGCAATTTAGAGTGAAAGGTTGAACTTTTATTGGCTTTTTTTAAACAAATTTTCAAAAGTGATTACATACTTGTAGCAAATTCTTTCCTTTTACTGGTCCAATTTTTGTTACTTTTCTATTTCTTTATTTCTCCAAGGCTGTGATTTACAAACACATGTTTTTCTGTAAATTATTGATCTTATTATTAGCACAAATTTTTAGTTGCATTATATGGAAGATAAAGTTTATGAAGAACTGGACACAAAAATCTGTTAGAAGTCTGAAACAATGAAAGAAGTAAAAATGACCGTTTGATGACTACAACTGCAATTGTCGTTTGATGACTACAACTGCAACTATTAGGGTGGTGCAAAAGCAACTGCCGATTGACGGTAAATTAAAAAAAAAAAAAGATGGCGTTCGATGATGACATGATCACAATGGAATATTTTCAGCAAGATCTCGAGCAGATTGGCATGAATCGGCCTGAATAACCTCGCGTTCTCGCGTAAGACAACTTTAGTCAGGTCCGCACCCTGGCGTTCCATTGCTTTGTACACTCTGTCCAGCTGATGAGCATACAAGTCCGCAGTGACCGTTTTTCCATGTTCCAGTAATTCAAAGTACACCAAACACTTGCTGTTCCACCATACAGACAATAAGATCTTCTTCCCGTGGATTTCAGGCCTTGGGGTTGGAACAGCACGTTCGCCGGCGCTCAGCCACTGTCGTTCTCGCGTAAAGTTGTCGTATGCAATCCATTTCTCATCCGATGTCACGATAGAATCAAGAAATTCGCTATTCTTTGCACGATTCAGGAGAATGCCAGCGATGGAAATCCGGGATGCGAGGTTAACATCACTGAGCTGATGAGGGACCCATCTTCCACAACGACTTTTCTTTCCAATAGCGTGAAGATGGCGTTCGATGGTGACATGATCACAATGGAATATTTTCGCAAGATCTCGAGCAGATTGGCATGGATTGGCCTGAATAACGTCCCTCAGCTTGGCTTCGTTCACGACTTCTGGCCTCGAACCGTGCTCGTAATCTTCCAAAGCCTCGTCTCCCTCTCGGAATCGTTGAAACCAAGTCTGACACTGCCTGAGAGACAAACTACCATCTCCGCAGCCATCTCCGAAAGCAGCACAGAGAGAACGATGCGATTCGGCAGCAGACTTTCCAATTTTGAAGTTAAACAGTTACACAGTTAAGCAGTTAAACAGTAATGCTGCTCGTAGCGCAAACTTTTGCTCGACCATGATCTAAATAAAAAAATATGAGCATTTTTAAATAAAATAAACAACAACCAAAAAAATTGAAATGTCGAAATAAATAGCAAACAAATATGCGAATAAAACATAAAAAAATAATGCCGTTAGCATCGCTTGTTTCTGATAAATGAGAGCTGATACCCATTGGCAGTTTCTTTTGCACCACCCTAATACAACCGATTCAACAACACCAGCTGTGCCTCCATAACCTTTATTATAAAATTTTGATTGATTTTGGTAAGTTTAGTTTCAATTTTATGCAAGACGCTTAAAAAATACCATCTTTATAATCAGAGATTTGTTAAAAAATGAAATTTCTCTTTATGTGGCACTTCTTTTACAAACAAAACGTCCAAATTGATGCCCGAGAATGGTACTGTAGTAATCGTATTGTAGACCGTCACAATATTGAGATCCTGTTGATGCTTTGGGCATCTAAATTTTGAAAATTTAGATTTAATTCAACCAACTCACTCCCCAATATCCACTGCCGGTTGGCCAAAGTCCGTAATCGACCGGCGAATGATCGGTCCAGGCTCCGCTACCGATTTTCCCATTTCCACCATTTAAACCGATCCACACGTAAACTTTCTCGCAGTCTGATGAACTGTCGATGATGGCTCTTGGCACCAAATCTGTAAATGGAGTCAATAGAACGGCTCTTGGCACCAATTTGTAAATGGAGTCAATAGAACGGTCTAGTACTAGAGCTTCACACACATTCAGCCAACTTTGGTTCAAGAATCGTGTTTCTGAGATCTCGCTACATCAGACCTTTAGCTCGTTACGATTCCAAAGAACACGGGAAGGTCAATTGGATGTGGTGGACATATGAGTTATTCGATGCCACGAGTTATTCGATGCAGAATTCAACGCCGATTCCGAATCTGCTTTCCGTTTCTGTTATGGGGCACTCTGTCGAAAGTTAAAAGCATGCAAAGTTTTGAATGGGATTTCAAAAATCACATTAAGTTTATAAGCAGATTTCCCAGTGAAGATGTTTCCCTTTTCATCGACATCAATGTCAAAGTTATCATCAATGTCAAAGTTTTTTCTTTGGATTTTAATGATAGCTTTTTGGTGTTAATAGTTAAAAGTAAACATTTTTATAAGAAATAGTTTAAAATAAACTTGTATTTGAAACGGAGAACATTGAACTTTGCAAATCCAAAGGAGCGAAAGGAAAAAGGTAGAATGGACTCGAACTAGAGATTCTTTGCCTTGTACTCTACACCAACTGCCACTCGGCCACCACTGCTTCTTCAGTCACTGGGAAATCTGCTTATAAACTTGTGATTTTTGAAATCCCATTCAAAACTTTGCATGCTTTTAACTTTTGACAGAGTCTTTTGTGTACTGGCGAATTATCTTGATAAAGAAACCATCTTGGGTTCATCGAAGCAGTCGCAAATGGAAGTAGACATCTGACTCTGTCAAAAGTTAGCAGAAACGAAAGGCAGATTCGAAATCGGCGTTGAATTCTGCATCGAATAACCCGTGGCATGTCATATGGCCATCACCCAGTTGACATTCTCTTGTAACTACCAAAAACAATCAAAAACAACCTTTCCTACGAAAACTTGATTAATAAAACTTACTGTAAACAAAATCATCTTCCTCTAGCGAGTGAATCGATACGAGATGAGTCCCAACACCCATATTAACACAGGCAGTTTCGGCTTCTTGGAATGAGTAGATACTACCGGTGTAAGGCTGGAAAGTGGGCTACTGTAGATTAGCAGAATTCTGGAAAGAATCTCTTAGAAGTCTGGTACTTGTTTGGCGTATTCATTCGGATTTGGTACAGCAATAAATATGGTTTCTATCTGCACCGATTATCTGATTACCGAACACGGATCAGTGCTCAATTTCATATCCATCCATCTCTAATTGATTGGAAACTTTTCCCAACCTGAACGTAGTAACAGCTGTCGGTTTTCGCGAAATACGACCATCCATTGTCGCATTTTGTAGCGCCAATCGTGCAGAAGAAAGGACGAGGCTGAGCACAATCGGTGGCTTTCCACTTCAATGTTAATGAGTCCAACAAGACACAGTTTCCAGAGCTCTTTGGTTCATCTAAAAGACAATGGCTTCTACGGTTTTAACAATGAATGATAAAACTAGCATAAAACTCTTTAAATACGATTTGAAGATTTGAATACAAGAACTCTGCTCTTGTCTATAGAAAAGCTCTGTTACTTCACTTACTGGGTTTATAGATTTTAAGGCAAATACCAATCAAAAGACCAGGGAAAGAGCCTTTCTATGATATTCTTTATTGAGCTGAAACAAAATTCAGTTTTTAAGCTTTGGCCAACTTTAGAGAGGAACTTTTGGCGCACTCCGTATATCCTGTGAAATGCCTAGAAGTCTTCTACGTCTAAAGTGGCTTCTACGATCTTAACAGAGCTCTTTGGTTCATCTAAAAGAACTACCTTGGTCCCAATTTTGATAAGTGAGCGGTGTATTGTCTTCATAGATGTACGTGCCAAGCGTCGTTCGCTGAACGCCGATGAACTGCTGGGAGACATTAAAATCTGAACATTAAAATCCTGATTAAAATTCTAGGCCAACATCCCATAATAGCTCATAGTCAGACCAGGCAAAAAATAGATTTCCAAAGAGATTTATTTGTTACACCGTTATCGGTGTAACAAATCGTTATCGGTTTACTATTGGCTTATTGTGGGCACAATTTTTCAAACTTACACTGGCTGCTGTACGTAAAGAGGAGATTATTCTCGAAAACATTCTGCACTTTTGCCACCGTTCCACCAACACTGTTGCAAGCCAGAATTGCGTCCAAATAGTTCAGAACTAGAATTGAGGAATTAGGCCCGAAGCCGATTCAAAATTTTCTTTTGATTTAGTTGATCTCCTTTAGACCTTTCATGAACTTGTGGTGCTATTTTTGCTTACAATTGACTTGTTCCTTTTTTTGTATCAAACAGTATTCCGTAAAGAATATCTATAGGTTTTTATAGAAAACCGACTTTTTAGATTGCTTTAATTATCCAGGTCGGCCGGCGCCACCTCCAGAGCAGTGCGCCACCACTTTTCTTTATCAGACCCGAAAACAACGCACAATTAAATCGTATTAAAATCCGATTTATGTTTGGTAAAGTATTTGAAAGTTTGAACAATTGTAAACAATTGTAATTGAACAATTGTAAACTCACGTGTTGGGAATGGATACAAGCAAACTGCTTCATTCGGAATTTGAAAAGTCGTTGATGGACACGTAAGTGCATTGACTGACAGAAATAGGGAAAACGTTGTGAGAATCGATCTCGATAAGCTCATTTTTGTTTTTGGCGGAAACGGAAATGTTTTAAACAAATTTTTTGAGACCTCAGAGTTTTCTTATCACTCTTTGATGACTATTTTAATCCTCTTATTGTAATCGATTTTTTAATGAATCAAAAATTTTATCAGATTAAGCAAAAAAATAACTAAAAAATGACTACAATGAAGTAGAAAATTAAAAATAAACAAACTATCACAAGTAATAAAGGGAAAACTATCTTAGATCTCGTTGCACGTGAATTCTGAATATTCTGTGTTGTGATTGAAAAGAGTGACTCTTCTCTATCCGAACTTCGGCCCAAAAATCTATCATACGATGTCGAAGTGCTGACATCATTTTATCAAAAGATCTGAAAGGAAAAAAACTGATTCAAAGGCTATGAAAACTACTGTTTCAAAAATTAATTTCATTTCAATTTGTAATTTCAAACAGGCTCATAGATTCTCGATAACATTGAAATCCGGCAAGAATAGTGAAGCTTTGATCAAAGAAACCTCATTGATCCCAAACCATCCCGATAAATGTGCTTTTCCTTCATTCGAGAGAGTCATAACGCGACCCATCAAAAGTTTGCTTTTGTGTAATGGCGAATTATCTTGATAAAGAAACCATCCTGGATTCATCGAAGCAGTCGCAAATGGAAGTAGAATTTTTCTGTCTGTAGAATCTGTCCAATATTTCAATATATTGACGGGAATCCATTGTGAGAACTTTCGAGTGAGAAACGCAGCAAACAAAGCCTGGCTTATCCTATTTGTGATATTTGGATATGTGCGCTGAATGGGTGCTGGTCTGCACAGGCCTGAATCTACGGTAAAATCCAAACTATATACTTTTGGTAGCCTTTGTAAGCTTTTAAGGGCTACCAAAAGTAAATATAGCTAGATTGGGGAACGCTAGAGATGGGTGCTGGTCTGATTACGATAATCTTTGAAAGTTGACAGCTTTTAGAAAACACATTCATACACATTTCTCAAATTGCTTTGTCGCCATCCCTTTATTCAGTCTTTTCCTCGTTGTATCTAAACGATCTCAAACGCGTCTCAAAACGCCAGGGATTACTGTAGAAAAATGGTGGCATTCAATGGTGTTATCGGTTATGCGAAAGGGGAAAAGAAACGTAAACAACGGATAACTTCCTGGATGAATTCTATCAAATATACCCAACAAACAAGCAGGAATATATCAATTCTCTATGTTAGTGTGTTTAAAGAGGTAAAAAACATTTGAATCTCTATAATTATAAACTTTTAGAAGATCAAAGACATCAACTGGGATGAGTTTTTCTTGATCCGACCTCAGCCCGAGCACCTTGACGACTTTGATTGGAAATTTGTACAAAAATGTGAGATTTTCAAAGAATTTTTGTTTCAATACCGACAGATTTGTTGAAATTTCAAAAATTTAACTTTAGGAGCTGGCCAAACTACAGGAAAATCTCCATGAATTGGTCGATCGATGTATCTATGTAATTCTGAACAAAATCGATATTTCATTCATCAACGCTTCGACCACATTGACGACAATTATTTCAATCATTGCTCAGAAGATTTCATTGAATTCGGAGGGGTTTTCGCTGATCTTTTCGGATGATTCAAAGAATAAATTACCGGTAAGTCAGGCGTAAAAGTCGGTAGACATCAAAAATTGTGATTACTTTGTTTTATCCCAGGATAATTCTTCTCTAGAGCTTTCAACTAAATTCGGATACTATCGAAATTTATTCAAAATTCGTACTAAGGACGGGATTAGGTGACGTAGCTATCATTTTCATCGATCTTTGTTTCATTCTACTGCACTGTCACACTTGTGTTACACCGTGCGCATTTACAAGTTGCTGATTTGCCAATATAGCTGCTTGAGGAATTTAAAAACTGTAAGCTTTTAGGCAATGACTTCAATCAACTTTTTACACGGGCAGTAGTTACCGTAGATACTGTAATAGTACTCCACCCCCATAGTGATGGTGCGGGGTGTTGCGTAGTCCAGCTTTGAACGTGTTTTTCTCGACACTGCTTTATACTACAATGCGCGCTTAGGTATCAAAAAATAGCTGAAATTCAGGGCTATTTTTTGATACCAAAGACGCATTTTTTGAAAGTACGGGGCTTTGAAAAAGAAATACTAAAAACTTTTGCGACTACGTCACTGTACAAGGGGGGTGAAGTACTATTACAGTATTTACGGTAAGTACAAGCTAAAACAGTGTCAAAATGCCAATCCCAAAGCAACGTAGGCTCAATTTTAGGCGGTGATGCGAAGATACGCCACAACGATCGCCCATTCACAGTACAAATCGCTAAAAATTTGCTCGTGGAATGCGATTTTGAAGGTATTTAATTTAATCTTACCATTTTTAAATTTAATTTTAGATAGCCACAGCTTGCCCAGATGTCTCAGGGAACTCATTACTTGAATATGTCTGCTGTCAAGATATTCTCGAAGCTATTTTGATTCAATTCATCCCTGGAAAAACGAGGAATCCATTTGCTTCGAGAGCTTGTGAGTGAATTATTTATTATTTATTTAATTATTTAAATTTTAAATTATTTAGTGCGGCTGTTTTCGGTGTTGCTGTGTCATTTTGATGGAAGTATTCATCTTTTGCTGCAATTCGCTCTCTTTGAAGATCAAAAGATATTGATGGTAATGATTGAAAGCTTAGTTTTCAGTAATAGTAGCTCGACTTTGTAAGCTTTTAAATCTAAATAAACTTTAATCGTTTAATTTCATCTTTCCAGGGCTTCAGCGAAGAATTCCGTCATTATGTTGCCCAAATGAATTCGAATTTCATCGAGCGACATGGAAATTGTCTGGCAGATCAATCGGTTGTCGAATTTTTGAGCAATAAGGTAAAGATTGATTTTACTCGTTAAGCTTTTAAGTTTTCAGCTCTCCGATCTCTTTTCATCGACGGGTAACGAAGTAAGAGTCGACATTCTCGATTTGGTCTACCTCTATCTTTTTCATTCGACAATCACCACCAACAAGAATTTATTGGCTGCTGTTTTTGCTGTGAGTTGGTTCCATTATGTAATTGTGAGTCAATAGGAACTAAGATCAGCTCTGATCTTCCTGTTACTAAGCTGCTCAGAAAGTCTTCGTCCCTTTTCGTACTTCCGTTGAAAAATAACAAATTCACCAATTAACCTATGGTTTCCTTTAAATGAAAAGTGTTTATTGTTAAATTTCCCATCTTTCTAAGTCAATTTCGGTTCACTTTCAAGCAAATTCGAGAGGGAAAACACGTGTTTTTCGCAAAAAATCAATAAACAGCTCTACGAAGAAATTGGCTGAATCAGTTTCTTTGAAAATTTGGCTATATACCAAACTTTTTGTGCTCTATCTTTTATCTATTGACACAAAGATAGGTTTCCTTAGTTAAAGTGGCTAAACCGCATCATCGAGTCGCATTTTTGCCAACCCGACTTCAAACTCTCAAAAAATCCAGTTATAGGAGATTTTAAAGCGGTTTTAATGTTATTTTGCAGAAGAATAATTGGCCTTTTTAATGAAACAAATCGTAGTTCAATTTATGCATTTGTTGGTTTTAAACGGAAGTACGAAAAGTAACGAAAAGAATTTCTGGACAGCCTAACACTCAATCGGAATCTCATGATTCTAAAGGAGTTATTAACACCAGATCTATACCGCTGCTACCAGATCTAGTCTAGAGCTTGAGCTCTAGATATGGTACCAACAGGTTTGACTGACATAGCTTTAAGGCCTCATTTGTACAAGTCGCTTATCAAAGATTACACCTTTGTTATTAACACTATTTTCAGATCCCTCCCCATGCACACGAGCATCACAGCAACACTCCTCCATCAAGCATCATCAGTCTATTCATCACGTTCTGCTCGTTTGCACTGTTGGATATGAAAAGTGAGTTTTTTTTACAAATCTAGAAAGGTTTGTTTAATGATTTCAGGTGATACTGCTCGTTTGCGTGCCAAGCTTTGCTTTCTCACATTGCTTCGTCTCACTGATGACTCGTACGCGTTGAATGAAATGCATCACACCGGTCGCTCGGAGCCGATACCGATCTTTCGACCCGATTTGCTACATCGAAAAGGTAGCAAGTTAAATCAATGATTTGCCTGGCTTTGTCAGAAAGTCTAGGGCCAAAATATTGTTTAGAAACCCAACTAGATTTTGTAGAAACTTTGTAGAAAGCTGTTATGATACATTTTTGTACTTTAGCCGCACTCGATTTAAACCCGCAGCCCACCACCTCAGCCTCAACTTTGCTCGATCTTCAAACAGAATTCATCATGGCCAACCTTAAGCTTTCTGTGCCATTGGAATTTTTCGAGTAAGTTTGCAGTTGTACGCGTTTGAATGCAACAAGTTTCAGTTTCTCTCTTGGCATCATTCATCGAATCTTAGCTTTTGGTAAAGAAAAGGAGAAGCGATTGGATAAATGGAAACCGCTGTTTTCTGGTAGGCAAAATATTGTAGCTTTACCAAAATACCTTTAGCCTTGATAAACTTGCTGAAGTTTTTGATCATCAATGAGCAAAAATTGCCGTTCGTCGATCCGTTAGTGTTGCGCTTGGTGATGTTGGTGAATTTCTTCATCACCTATGGAGATCTCTTTTTGCCGGAGTGAGTTAATCTACCAGAAATTTTGACTCTAATTCGTTAAAGGTCAGTTTGAATGAGTACTCAAGATCTCCTCTCCAAGAAAGGCGAATAATTTTTCGAATTAATTTAAATGCTTAGACCAATTAAACCCGAGTTCCAATTGGTAGACTCAATAAAATGAATAAAGTTAAGGTGAATCGTTTCCCCGACTCTGAAAATCCTCGAGTACAAATTTTCAGCTGAATATCTTCTTTTTGTACCATCTAAAAAGCATAAGGATCCCTTGTTTAAATGACTTGAACGGACTAGAGCTGAACTTTTTATATTCTTAAACTCATCTACATTTTAGTTTTCAAATCTTATTTAGTGGTGATGCGTATGAAAATGTTTACTACGAGATCATCCGACAACAAACGATTTTTCTGAAACTGAAAACAACATTGGCTTCTTCACCGAAAAAGTTGGTTTTCTAAATTGTAACCAAAGTTTAAACAAATTCTCAGCGATGTCACAGAGAAAACGCAAATGCATTTGAATAACATTTTGAACATCATTGAAACAGTGCAACCAACCTTGGACCGTTTTGACGATTATCCATCAGAGGAAGAGGTTTGCAATTTTAAAACTCGTTAGACCAAATTCAAATTTAGGTATTCACCGTAATCCAAGACTCTTTCGATCACCTTGCTTTACGAGTTTTCCCCACTTTAACAATGGTTGATCGCTATGAGGCCTCGATTCATCAAAGGACATTCTTCGAGATACTATCGGTCAAGGTTTGTAATAAAGTAAAGTAAGGAATGGGAAAGAAAGATTAAGTTAAAATGAGTAACTCAATAAGATTGTATTGGAATTTTGTAATTGAGATTTTATTTTTGCAGATAGCTGGCCGGGTGCGAGAAGTTGTAGATGATGAGGTACTCGACTACTCAAAATTTCTTCAAGAACTATCCCAATCCAAATAGTACCAAATCTTTTTTGATTATCATGTTTGCTCATTTATTTGCATTGCCTTTTTCCTATTGCCATTTGTGATACAAATCCAAAACCAGAGCTTTCACTTTTTTTTTTGACATGTTCAGGGAATAAAAGTATTAAACTACTTCTCAGAAACTGATGTAATGTGCTTCAAAATAAGTTTGTATTGAAGAAAGTGCCCAAATCGGAGCAGTTTTGGGTGCTCGCATTTGCGCCTTTCAAAAATCCAAAAAACAACTATTTCCAAGAATTTCCCCAAAGCCATTCTGCAGAGAAACAATGAAACTTTTTAATAGTTCAAATAGAAATTTTGTTGGTAGCGGCATTGCTTTTAAAAGACGTTTGAAAAAAATTGCAAAGACTTATGCATCAATCTAATAGTTTACATTTTTTACTTGTTACGAAAAATTGAAGCCTCAAACACGAAAGCTAAAGCATTAGATCAGTTTCTGTTTTACATTGGTATTTCAATGATGTCACTGTTGCTTTTGCAATTTTGCTACTTTTGCGATGGTAAAAGCATGGACATGATATATTGGGTTGGTGAATTGAAAACTGCGGGACTTTGAACTAAAATTTATTCGACATAAAACCATCAATTCATTCCAAATAATTTCCATTATTATTGACGACTTCTGCCCATTTTACAGCCAATTTGCGGATTCCTCTTTCGTAGTAGGATTTTCGTTTTGAATCGAAAAACTTTCAGAGCCAATTTTTGACTGCTTCTTCCGAATCGAAGTGTTCTCCCGCAAGCTCATTACTCATGGTCCGGAATAAATAAATCAGAAGGGGCAAGGTCCGGACTGTATGGGGATGTGCCAAAAGTTCCCAATCAAGACTGTTTATTTTAGAGCGAGTCAGTTTTTTCAACATGAGGGCGCGCATTGTCGTGGATCTTTGACTTGAAAAGAACGATCTTTGACTCGAAGGGCCTATTCTTCTTTAGGGATTCATTCACCTTTTCCAACTGTTCACTGTATTTGATTGCATTAAGGGTCGCCTTGCTATCCAGCAACTCCCAGCAACTCCCTCCATATCCCAAAGTGCTCAAACTGTGACGTATGACAATAGACAATTCGATTTTGGTTTGTGTGTGAGACTCAAAAATGGAGGACTGGAGATGTCCCAGTTTGAGCACTTTCTTCAAAAGAAATCCATTTTGGTGTCAATAGAAAAGTTGTAGAGAATCAAAAATTAGGCTTATAGCCAAATTTCCAAAAAGATACACTTAGTAGTTTCGCTTAAAATGCAAGTTTTGTTGCAAGTTTTGTGAAAATTCGTAAATTTGGCATTTCTTAAAAACCAGTTTTTGAATCGTTCTGAAAATTTGGATATAAGCTTGATTTTTGATTCTCTACAACTTTTCCATTGACACCAAAATGGCTTTCTTTTGACGAAAGTGTGAGAACTGTCACATCTGACAATAGCCGGCAGTTTTCAATTCACCAACCCAATAGCTGTGGGTTTCAGAGTTTTAGATAATTAAAGAAAATACTTTTTTGTTGAGATCAAATCATAAACTGTACTAAAACGACTTTGAACGTATAAGGTGAACGCGCAAAGCTCAAGAGTTAGCCATTGAATGTGGGTCAAGGGGCAAAAAAGGGCATTGAGGGAAAAGAGAATGGTAAAAGCCGAGAGTAGGCAGATCCCTTTAATCTTTCCGAACCCTTTTCGGCACAAGTGAATCAAGTAGAGTGTTACAGTTACACCGCTCAAGATCTTTGGCTAGTTTTACGACTCTTAGCCAGCTCAGTTATTTCATCTAGATTTTGAACTTTGCGAGTTGAAAACTTGATTTTGAAACTCCTGAAGATTACCATTTAAAAGTTCTGAATCAAATTATTTAAGCGCAATGTAGACTTTGAACTTTGAAGACTCAATTTGGAAACTCCTCAAGATTTGGCCTTCGAAATGTGGGTCAAGGGGAGGAAAAAGAACAGACAGATCCCCTCTCTTTCCGACTAAACCCTCAGAGGGAGGGACTTGCGAGGGAATGGAGATGAGAGAATGGGAAAGAACAGACAGAAAGGGCATCTCTCTTTGCCGTGTCATCACTTCCACTTTGGCGCTCGCGGACGATGAGAAGAGAACGCCCAGTTCAATTTCAAAGCCCCTTTTTGCCTTCTTTGCTCCTCCCTTTCGTTGTTCTCGGAAATTCGACCACCCAGCTCAAATTTTAAAAGAACTTTGACTTTAATTTCTTTTCAAAGAGCTCAGCTCAGCTCAGCTCAGTTTATTTTCTGTTGATTTTAATGTTTTAGCTGGATATTCAAGAACTCACTATTACTATAGCTTTCTTTTTTTTCAAAATCTCTCACTCAATCAAGGCTTTTGAACTCCCAAAAACAAGGAATTTCAGCTAAACTTCCGGGATTTTATCCGCTGAATTCTAAAGGGATTTTGGGGGAAATTGTTGAACAAAAGGCTGTTATTGCCTATTCATTCAATCAAATTCAAAGAGTTGTGAAAATATTGCCTATTGCCAAATAGGCAATAGTTTAGGGACTATTGCCAAATAGGTTTGGATTAACCTGAGAAATTTTTAAGCCCAGCAAACCAGTATCAAGCCAAGCTCAAGTCCCAGGATAGGACCTGGAGGCTGGGAAACCGGTTTGATTCTTTCAGGGATTCTGGGAAACAGGTTTGATTCTTTCAGGGATTCTGGGAAACAGGTTTGATTCTTTCAGGGATTCTGGGAAACAGGTTTGATTCTTTCAGGGATTCTGGGAAACAGGTTTGATTCTTTCAGGCTTGATTTGACCTGGCTTTCAGGCTTGATCTGGAGCTGGTTCTCTAGTCTGGGCCTGGTTCTGGCTTAGTCTAGTCTGGGCCTGGTTCTGGCTTAGTCTAGTCTGGCCTAGATCTAGTATCTTATCTGATTTTACGATCCAATTTGAACATTCCTTATTGTTCACAAAAGAATTTCTAGAATTCTATCAAACTAAACTATAGTTCGAGATTTTTTACTTTAGAAATATTCAGCAGACATTGATGACCACTTTTTTTGAAAGAAATCCTTTAACGTCACAACTTTCTCATCTCTTTATGCAATCTGCAGTTCAGGCTTGAGTGAATCCTTTGTTTTCAACTTTTCTAAGAAAAAAAATCGAGTACTTATTGGCATATTTGGCTTCAGTTTTGTGGATTTACGTATCTCTTTTATCTTTTTTTTTATCGACTTGGTTTATTCGTTCTTTCTGTGCGCTTTTCGTGCATATTTTTAAGGGGGGATTTGCTGAGTTGAACACTGAGCTTTTTGAAACTTTTGAGTTGAGTTTTATTTTCAAATTGTACAACTTTATTGTACAACTTTATTGTACAGCTTTATTGTACAGCTTTATTGTACAACTTTCACTTTAAATTGATACTCATCGATTTCCCAATCAATTACTCATTTGAATTTAAAAGTTAAATTAAAATCCCCTCCGAAAGCTATAAAAATTCCAAAAATTCTTTCAAACTCTCCGATTTTCCCCATCGTTTCCTAGCAATTTTAATAAGTGTTCGAATTTTCACTGGAAAATGACTCAGAAAAGACAAAAAACCCCTCAAATAACCTCAATCTTTCTTTAATCCAGTGTAGCCTTGATAAAATTCAAAATTCAAACACAATATCAATTCCTAACTCCTTTTTCCTTACTCTAAATCGTAAATTGAAACCAAACATCGAATTTTCACAATGACAGACGCGGTTTTTTTTGCGAAATTCCCCCGATTTTTGCCATCTTATCTCTTCCCGTCAGTCTGTTCAATAGTAAGCTTTTTTTGAGTTCAATTTGTAGCCAATAAAATCTAAATCTAAATCTAAATCTAAATCTAAATTCCTTTGCAAAAAAGTTAAATAAAACTTTCTGAATAGCTTTGTTTCTTTTCTAAATTACCGAAGTCGACAAAATCTCCGTTCTTGGCCGATTTTGCCACCCGATTTCTTGTCCTGAGAAATGTTTTTGGAAGCAGTTTTTTAAGTTTCATGTTAAAATAAAGTTAAGTAACATTTTATACCATTCATAAATGAAACCCTTTTTAAGAGCCAATTCGGAAAAATACGGCAATCACGTCTTTCGTTAATTCCATATCAGTTAGAGATCCGTTTGACCTGTTGATATTATCTTCTCTTAGGCCAGCAGCCGGAAATCATTTATTAATGGAAGCAGCTAGCGAATTTGCCAAATCACTGACTCATTACAGTCTCGTTTTCAAAAGTTCTCAGAAAAATCTCAACAAGATCAACAAAGTTTACGGTGATTTACCTAGAATCTAGCCCCATTTGACTTCTGTATGCTTAGAATACTAAATACTGATTAAAACCTTAAAAATCCCATTCAAAACACCGTTTTCCTTCTCAAAATCCATTCAAAACACCATTTTCCTTTTCAAATCCCATTCAAAACACCCTTTGTCCTTTTCAAATCCCATTCAAAACACCATTTTTCATTTTCAAAATCGATTCTAGTTGACCCTTCCATTTCCCCTTGACATCACTTGTTAAACAGAGTTCTCTGATTTAATTTCCATCCATTTTTCTCCTTTCTTCTTCCTCGGATTGTCGTCAGCGGATCATTTTCCCGTTTCATCTCCTTTTTCCCCATTTTCTGAGAAGTTGCAAAAAAGCGCGGGAATGCCCAATTTAGTGACATTTTCCCCTTTTCTTTTCGCCTTTCCCTCAACTGAGATTTAGCCTCTTTTTAGCCAATCAGTGCTTCGAACGGAATCACTTTTCTGCAACTTTTTCTCTAGTATTTGTCATTTCCGATCCGATTCTCGTGATTTCTTTCTTGATTTACACCTGTTCCAACTCTTTTTTTTGTTCGACAATTCTCAGCTGTTACCCTTTCGATTTCACCTGGGAATTGTGCCTGAAAAAATCATCTGCTTCAGCAAAAACGACAAGGAGAAGAACAAGATTCGGCTCTTAAAATCATTTCTTAGAAATGTTTCAAAAATATCGTTGGATAATGTATAAATTTCTTTTGTCTTC